AGGGCGCTGCCAGTCTGCTTAAGTGCAAACAGATGGTCTTCTGCGGTCTTAATCTCATCGATGTCTCCGAACATGCGTCGGATTTCCTTACAGAATCCATTCCAGCTGCCAAACATAGTCTGCGTAGTTGTCATGCTTCCATTGGTACTTTCATATTTGAAATAGTCCTTGAGGAATGGTTCGATCCATCGCAGGGCTTCCCCCCTAAGGTAGGACGCAGTCCACAGGGCATAGCTCTCCTGGGTGGGAAACTTCTCGTCATTGAAGTGCTGGTACAGTTCGACCTGTAGCAAAAACACCTCAAGTTCCTTTCGGTTGCCGGAGTAAGTGTCGGGCAACTTGACGCGTAGAGTTTCCTTGAGTTCGTTGACGGTGGGTGCGTCGGGCATCTCTTCATTCTCAGGCTTAGACCTCTGAGACGAAGTTGGCGTGGTGGGGGTTTTCCCCTTCGAACTGACGACAGACATGTTGCTTTGTGTGTAAGCCGGTACCTCGTAGAAGTGGTGCTCAAAGTGTAACGCTGACTTCTAAACGATAGAAGGCACAGAGGTTCTCTTGCGTAAAGGTTTACTTATCAGAGGAGGCAGGGGATCAGACACAAAGGCTTCAAGTAACACGTTACTAGTATATAACAAATACTGTATTGAGTTGAGCACGAAGCTCCTATCTAAGGAAATACTATCTACTTATATAGTGGCGTCGTGCCTAGTGGACTCCTGGGAACTCACTCGAGTCCTCAGAGTCCTGGACTCTTAGGATTCTTCTCATCATCCTGCGAGTCCGTCACGTGCCTAGTGGACTCCTGGGAACTCACTCGAGTCCTCGGAGTCCTGGACTCTTAGGACTCTTCTCATCATCCTGCGAGTCCGTCACGTGATACTTTCGGAACTACTATTCCCCGCTGCCCCTCCAGGTACCAGGGCCGGTCTCATGCGACCTCCCTCCTTCCTGTCCTGTAGTTGGCCAGCCTTCTTGTTCCGTCGTAACATTAACACCTCACTGACTTTTCAGAAACAAGGAGTAACAAGATGAATGCTTGGAAGCTTGGAAAAGACGTGGAAGTATGTGATAGTCGATTTACTGTATTGTCTGCTTGCCCTTTCTTAAGGAAAGGGCAATCCTATTTATGCTAAAGGAGTGTAGTTCTCTCATTTTCCAAGACTTTCCATGACTTACCAGGCTTGGTAACTGTAGTTGACGTAAGAGAAGCCCATAGAACCATCTCTTAGGTTCGTAGCCTATAGGAAGTAAAAGGAGGTCCACAAGGTCAGAGTACCCCTATAGACAAATTATGTCATAGACAAATTATGTCATAGACAAATTATGTCATAACTTAACCAATCTTGTGGGTAACTAAAGATCGATGACATGTAATGAATCATAGAAGTTCGTAGGAGCTTTTAGAGCTATCGTTCATGCTCCTAGGCCTCTAGTTGGTAGAGATATGTCATGTGGTAGTATGAGTGATGTCATGTAATGAATCATAGAGGGTTGTAGAGATATGCTATGTGGTAATATCGGCCCAGTAACTAAGGAGCGATGACGTGTAATGAATCATAGATGGTTGTAGCAATCATTGAGTAGTATTGCTCTTGTTGTTGGTGTGATAAGCCAAAATATGTATAGTGACTTGTAGGTTTGAGGAGGAGATTTCCAAGTTTGCTCTTGAGTTTGATAGCAAACTGAGTGCAACAAATGTCAGTATGACATTGGGCTAGGGCCCCCTGCATAGGCTGGCTTGGCAATTCTGGCCAAAGTACCGATTCTCACGCGTCACGAACACTTGAGTGTGAGAGCAATCAATTCTGTAGAATAATGAGTAGAGTAGATACCTAAACCCCTATATAAAACTATACTATAAGCCTAGTACTCTGTGTGCATACCATTTGCAGCAATTACTGCTGCCATATGTGTAGGCATACTATTAAGGAGAGCATTAAGCTCAGCTTCTCCAACTTGCTCCCACGCTTCCTTAACAGCTACACGGAGCTGGTCATAGGACATATGTTCTGGATGATTATCTTGTAGATAATTCTTCATAATATGCCACACCCGTTCAATTGGGTTGAGATCTGGTGAATACGGGGGCCATTCTATAGGGCAAATACCACAGGATCTCAACTCTTCATATGTTGCACCTGCGCTATGACCTAGAGCTCCATCTTGCATCAATGTAAGGCCTAGGTGTAGGTGTAGCCAGCCGTGGATTAGAGGGACAGTATGAGCCATATAGGACTCAGCTCCTATTTTCCCATATTCCTTCTCCTAAAATAGTATAGGACCCTTTCCAAGACCACTGTCATGACACTCCTTTGATATTTGTGTCATGACCCTTCAATTCGCTTTAGTCTCTAGTACTTATTTCACTATGTCATTCACTTCACTTCGCTTACTTCGCTTCACTTGCTCAGCCTAAATGTTAACTACTAGCTTAGGCTCTCTTGTTATTGGCTCGCTTCACTAGGGCTCACTTAGCTAGGGTTCGGTTAATTAGTGCCTTCACTTATTTGGCACTAGGGATTTTTACTGTTATATAAGCACTTATTGCTCATGTCTCTTATTGATCTTTAGCTAGCAAATTATATACTACTTGGCCTTCTTGCAAATCATCCTGCTTCGACTTACTTTGCACCCCCTTACTTCGAGTCGAACCACTTAGCCAACCTGTTAGTCTCACCACTTGACCTCTATGGTATAAAGTATATGCTTTGGAGCCTGAACTACTATACCTTGTCCTAGAAGTATCGAAGTCTTCATGTTATACTTCAGATACTTCTACAGACTTGAAGGTCAGCCTCGGTTGGAACTGTCCTTACAAGTTGCGTTCTAAAACCATATGTGTCTGCTACTTTCTTTATCATAAAGTTGCCTGTTGCTCCTAAGTCTATTATAGCTTAGAGCTGTTGCTGTTGTATCTTAGCAACTACATATAGCTACATGCTGCCCGTTATGGCGCATAGCTGGTTTGTACTAGGCCTCTTTATGTCGCTCACTAGTGGCCTACTACCAAGGACTCCTAGTTTTTTGAATCGTCTAAGGAAAAACCCTTACACTTGCTATATTCTAATAGTCATAGAACTAGTGTTCCTTCTTTTCTTCGTTTTGCTTTAAGACGTAGGTGTTAGTGTGCTTCTAATGCTTGTATTTCCCCCTTCTTTTCTAGAATGGCTTCCTCGAAATTGTACTTATTTGCAGTCTAGATTTCTACAAGCTGTGATACTTCGTACTCTCCCCCTTGTTCTAGTTGTTGTAATACTTACAACAGGCTGTTTCGTCAAGCCTTATAGATCTCTTTGTTAGGGTGGTGTATGTCGGAGATTCTCCATTCTACGATAGCATCCTAGATGTTGTATTCTAGAATGTATCCTCTAGCTAAATTGTATTTCGCTCTATAGGGTTCCTACTAGTATAGGTATTCTAGTTGGCACCTCATTGTGCAGAATGCAACCTCCTAGTCTTGTGTAGTGCCTTGCCAGCTCGTTAGTGGCTTTAGTATAGGAATTCCTTAATCGACTGTCTCCTAGAGCATAGCTTCCTTAAAGGTTCCTACTACTCCTAGTAGCTGTTCCTTAAAGAGAGTCTTACTTGCTTTCTTCTTAAATGCTTATAACTGGTGCTTTTAAGAGCTAGTGAGCTCCTTGTCATCATTCTTGTTTTCTCTGTTTGACAAGCAGAATTCCTTAGGATCCTAAGTGGTAACACTCTAGTTCTCTTTTCCTTTTAACGTATCACATAGCTGTCCTCGCAAGGCATCATACCTGCCCTAACCTTGCTAAGTGGCATTAAGCTGTTTGCTATATTTTCGTCTGCCGTTCCCTTTCTTTAATTGTTTGCAATTTCACACTATGTGTCTAGGCTTGTTGTAGTTGAAGCAGAGCCATCCTTAACCTGTCACTCCTTGTTAGGATTGTGGGGTTTGCCATTAGGCTTGAAAGTAGCATCAAGTTCTATAGGGGGCTAATAACTCTTTGTTTAACTTCTCTTCTAAGTCTAGTGTTAGTTAGGTTGTCCCCCATTCTTCTTAAGTTGCCGTTTATAGTGCTAGTTGTCAATCTTCTAGGCTAATTCGATCATCTCCCTAAGGTCATCTAGTTTGTTAGACCTTAAGATTTTATCCTTTACATGGTCCCTTAGACCTTGTACTATTGGTCACAGATAGCCTCTTCTCCCTAGTTAGTGAGTATTGTATGCTGTTAAAACTTAGCAGTATATGCAACTACTAACCCTCTCTACCTAAGAGACTAGAGTGCCCTAACTACATTTCGTCATTCATCGATGTCTCTAAAGTTTGCTTTAAGTTGTCTAATGAATCTAGCCTAGGATACGAAAATCTCCTTTGTTCCTTAGCTAGCTTAGGTGTTGCATTTTCCTTATAACGTTCAATGGTTCATAAAGTTAGCAAGGTAATTAGAGATCCATTCTAAGGTTGGTCCTTATAGGAGGGCCACGGCCTATAGGATCTGTTCTACTTCTTAGGTAAAGTGTTTGGCGTTAAACACCATCTATAGCTCTATATAGATGATGAAACTCTTAAGCTTCTTATGATCCCTATGAAAATATTAGGGAATGCAATCTTAAGCTTGTCTAAGGGGTGAGCCTATGTGGCTTCGATGGTAGGCTTAGTATCTTCCTTCCCCTTCGTTCTAACATTTAATCTAGTATTGTCTCTAGCTATGTTGCTTTGTGTGTAAGCCGGTACCTTGTAGAAGTGGTGCTTAAAGTGTAACACTAACTTCTAAACGATAGAAGACATAGAGGTTTCTTACATAAGGTTGACTTAACAGAGGAGTCAGGGGATTAAACACAAAGGCTTTCTAAGTAACACGTTATAGTATTGTAAAGAATACTATATTAAGTTGAGCACGAAGCTCCTGTCTAAGAAATAACTATCTACTTATATAGTGGCGTCGTGCTACTAATGATATCTGGCTAGCGGGATGCAATTTCGCTTTCCGGATGCACTTCGCTTTCGCCGACCACCGACGATTAGACGTTAAATACACACACACACACACACACAGATCTACGTGGGGCTACGGAATCGATGATCATGAAACACGACGAGACGAGCAGTGATGAACACCATGATCAGAGTGTACAGTTTCATTTCTCCCAGCCTCCAGTAAGCGAGATGAGACACTACACTACATAAAAAGATGGAGCCCTTAGACAACAGCGTTCTGGTCGTAATACAAATCACAATGATGCGGGTGCTGTAGGCAGTATTTTGGTACGAGCGGCGTGGCCTGTACCCCCAACGCGACCAGATACTCCCTGAAGTTCAGGATGCGCTGCGTCATGGTCGTCGTGCGCTTCTTGCCGTCGGCGTCCCTGTTACCAGACCAAGATAGCTCGGCGAGCGCGGCAGCACGCGGCCACAGCTTCGATGAGATGCAAGTGTCGTCAACTTGCTCGGACCACAAGGGGGCGGTTACCCCAATGACCTTCTTGGCCTCGGCGGCGGTTAGGTTGGTGGTGAAGTCGTAGTCGTAGATGCGCTGCCAGGTCTTGTAAGGGGCACACCAAGATCCCCCAGTACCTCCGAAGTTGAAGTTGGCGGTTTTCGGGTCGGGGTTGACGTTCTCGTTGTAACGGGGGTCGTTGGTCACGTAGCCGCCGACGCCACAGTCAAGGTAAAACCAGTCGGACGAGGAGACGACGACATCAAAACCGCTCGACGTGAGCTTCTTGATATTGGCGAGGCCGCCGTTCCAGGACTGCATAATGATGTCCTTGGGCATGTCATGCGCGTGCGGGTCGTTGATGGCAATATCCTCCCACATGATAAGACGCCTGTTCTTTGGCTTCTTGAAAATCGGCACAGCTTTATCGACCCAGTACTGGACGAGGTCGTCGTACGTCAGCGATTTGTTCGCCGCAAACCACTCCTGTGTGATAGTGCTGAGGTTGTAGCAGCCAACCTGAAGCTCGTCACCACCAACATGGAACAGGTTGTCTGTAAAGAGGCTAGACAGCTCGTTATACACTTTTGCGACAACCTCGTACGTCTTGTCATTAAGGATCTCCAGCTGGCCCGGGTTAGGTTGTACAGCAGTGTGGAGTGGCCAGTTATCGTTGGACCACCAGGAGTTTGTGCAGGCAACAATGGCAGGGTCGATTTGCTTCCACCCCGAGGAGGAGTGGCCGGGCATATCGGTCTCGGGGATGATGCGAACGGCGCGGGCGCGGGCATACGCAATGATAGTGCGGACGTCGTCATGCGAGTACGTCTCGCGCGTAGAGTATGCGTCGTTGGTCATTTCTGGGTATGCGTTGATTGTCAAGGGCCAAGACTGGTCATCGTCGATGTGCCAGTGGAGCACGTTGAGCTTCGACAGGGCCATCCCGTCGATGGTCTCAAAGATCTTCTTGACGGTGATAAAGTTGCGCCCAGTGTCGACCATGATCCCGCGGTATGGATAGATTGGGCCATCCTTGATGGACACTGGTTGCTCAATCTGGAGGCCGCCGTGGCCATCAGAGATGACAATTTGTTGGAGAGTTGTAAAGGCATGGAGGGCGCCCCAGATGGTCTTGGCTGTGATATCGATCGAAGGTGAGCTGCCCTTGACATCAAGCGTGTATGACTCGTCGACACCGTGCTGTAAATCCGCCTTGTAATCCGAGATCTGGACGTTCACTTCGTAGATCAAAGTTGACCAGCGCTTGGTATGTTCTGATTCCGATTCGGCGAACACGGGGGCAGCTGCCCTTTTAGCCACGGCGGGGGTGGTGGGAAAGGGGTCGAAGACAGGAATTGGCTCCTCTACAGCCTGGGGAACCCATTTCAAGGTCGTGATCGAGTTGAACGCGCGATTCCACGCGTCCTGAACCACCTGGTTGTAGGGGCTCTTGAGGACGAGATATCCAGCCACCTGCTTGGGTCCTGAGGTCCCCCAGGTTATGGAGACGGGGGCGGGTAGCGGATTGACTTTGACAGCTCCGGCAGCCCCAGCGAACGCGCATGAGGCGGCTGCAATGGCCTGGACGACCTGATTGAATCGCATTTTCGGAGATAGTTGTTCTGGCTCAAGTGGCGCGAGGTCGAGATCGCTGATGCTGTGCACCTGGAAGGGTCGCAGCTTATATTAATACTGTGGAAGTCACACCGGAATGTCTTATCTGGGAAATGATAATTGTCCGTGTTCGCACCGACCAGGTCGGGGTCGGCGAAAGCAAGTTGCACACGGAAAGCAGGGGTCCCTACTCTTGTCCGGAGTAGGGCTATGAACGGGGTAGGGGAGCTGTTGTGTGCGGTCGCTGTTGTGTGCGGTCGCTGTTGTTACATCGGAGAATGTTATAATATACAGGGGCTACAGTAAGCGACCACAGGTAGAACCACAGAAAAACTCTGCCCTTACGGCTAGAGGCCTCGAAGGGAAAAGAAAATTTACTCAACAGTTATGAGCCCGGAGCAACTCTAAGTCGCAAAATTGATTAATATATACAATCGCAGAGCCTACATACATTCTAGACACCATCATAATGGCAACAGTAAATAGGGTAGGGGTGGTCCTTACATCTCCCAAAGACTGGGATGAATGGATCGAGACGATAAAAACAACATCAATGAAAGCTGGAGTATGGAGGTATATTGACCCGAACAATATTGATCCTCCTATTCTAGAGCCACCCACTCGTCCTGCCCCTAGCTTTGTGCGCGCCGCAGCACAGGCAGGCCAAGGGTTTGCAACATCTTCATCTTCGCAGCAAGCACCCGCAGGTGTGGCAACAAGAGGGCGATCCTCTGCACAGCAACCTCAGCAGTCTGTCGAAGACCAACAACAACTTTCCTCCCAACTGATGCCAATCACATATGCGAGTTTGACCGAAGATCAAAAAGAAGAACTTCGGAACCTAAAAGACGATTACCAACATGATCGTAAGATGTGGGAGAAACAAGAGGAAGCCGTCCAAGGCATCCGCGCAAAAATACAAGAGTCAATCAAACGGGACTTCCTCCCGTATACATATGGATGTGATTCAGCACATGCGATGCTTGTGAATCTCAAAACACGCTTCGCACCTACCGACCGTGGTAGAATTGAAGAATGGAAGAGTGAGTGGAGAACATTGCAAAAGATACCAAAGGGGTCAACTGTCGATGATTGGCTTCTCCGGTGGGAAACAATTTCTGAAGTTGGTCGCAAGCTACAAGTTGCTGAAGTCATTGGACATACACCGATCTTTGACTTTTTAGGTGCAATCTCTTCCTTGTCACCACCATTTGTCAGTATCTGGGATATGAGACTCATCGATGAGTCAACAACATATTCTCTCACGCAAGTAATCACCGAGTACAGAGCTTACCGTCGGCAAACACAATTCCGACAGAAACCTCGGGGGGAGCATGGAGTCTTCGCAACAATGGATAATAGTGGAGAAAGTAGTGACGGAGTCTTTGCAGCAACAGACGAAAATGACAATAAACCTGCAACACTACAAGGCCGTACAAATAGAAATACTTCTGCCAGGCGATGTCCGTGTGGATCAAAACACAAATGGAGAGATTGTTATTATATTGTTGAATCAAAAAGGCACAGTGGATGGAAACCTAAAAAAGAAACTGAGATAAAAGTGCGGAACTACATTGCAGAAAGACCATCTTTCCAGTCTATAATTTCCAACTACTTGAGCCAGAATGGATCAGGGGACAACAGTCTGCAAGACAGTACAACAAACCCCACGGCATTCACAGCCGTGTTCCCAGCATTTCAAGTGTCGCAAAAGCCATCATCAACTTATGAGCTTGCACAAAGTACAATCCTTGATTCTGGAGCCACGGTGCACGTCTGCAATGACTATGCAAAATTCCACAACTTCAAAAAGTGTGATAGTGAAACATATCTCCTCGCAGGAGATCAACGGGTGATAATTGAAGGATTTGGTTCCGTGAACATTGATGTTCAAAATAGCAATGGTCAACCAATAACTATCGCTCTTGAGGAAACAGCCCTTGTCTCCACTTTCCATACATCAGTCGCATCACTACGCCGATTCATCAAAAAAGGCGTGCACTGGAACACGAAGACTGAATGCCTTACATACAGAGGCAAAATATTCTGCAAAACTCCGATGATACACAATCAATGGGTTTTAGAATACAAAAAGCATAAGGTTGTACCGGACATCGAGAAGGTATTTCAAACCTCATTTGAACCAAGACGTGCCTTAAAAGGGACCGCAAAAGAGTGGCACAACCGCATGGGTCACTTAAATCAAAATGCAGTGTACAAACTACAAGAAAACACAAGAGGAGTAGAGGTGACAGACATGGACTACGACACAAACTGTGAAACATGCAAGCTGTCAAATGCAACCAAAATCATCTCTCGAAGACCAATCCCACGGTCAACAGTACCATATGAGAAGGTACACCTCGATCTCATCCAAATGCATGAATCATATGAAGGCTATGTGTATAGCATGCACTTTCTTTGCGACTGCTGTCGCATGAATCATCCATACCTGCTGAAGAACAAGCGCCAGGAAACACTCATGCAAACAATTAAAGATTTTGCAGCCTATGTCAAAAGACGATGGAATTGTGAAATAAAGATCTTTAAGTTGGATGGTGAGGCAGGACTTGGAAAGGAATGGGAAAACTGGGTTGCAGATGAAGGATACGAAGTCCAAGTTTCACCACCGCACACAGCAGAGCCAAATGGAGGCATCGAAAGATCTGGTCGCACAATAATCACCCGCTCTCGTGCATTAAAGGAAACAGCAAACCTTCCGATGGAGCTCTGGCCGGAGATGTTCAAAACTGCTGGGTACCTCATCAACCGATCACCCACAGCAGTGCTTAACTATGAAACCCCATATGGACGATTATTAAAGCTCCTTAATATTCAAACAGAGAACATTAAGCCTCTGTTGTCGCATGTTCGCATATACGGGTGTCGAGCATATGCCCTCATCCAAAACCGCCCAAAATTAGACAGACTTGAGAAGAGTGCACAAATTGGTTATTTGGTGGGATACAACTCTACGAACATTTTTCGCATCTGGGTACCGACACTCAAAAAGGTAATTACAACAAGAGATGTTACCTTCGATGAAAATAAGATGTTCGATCCACAATACACTCCTGTCGCAACACCAGCTGAAATCCAACAAGTGGTAGAAGTCATCGAGCTGCCTGAGTTGGACAATCAGTCCATCGATGACCACGAAGATGAGCAACAGCCATATCAACCTGCAGATGTCACTACAAACCAACACGTGGAGCCACTGCAGGGTGAGCCAAAACATAGTGGAGAAAAATCTCAACAAGATAATTTCTCGGGGGGTGATAATACTCACTTACGGACTCCGGAAATGACCCCAGAACGAACTGATGATAGTGTGCGAAGACACGATGTCTATTCAGCCACCATCCAACATCCAAACTCAGGCGAAAGTGTACACACAGCATTTATAGTTGGTACGACCTTTAACAAGCAAAGGGTCCATCGCACAGCGTTGCCTGCAGCCCCAAAATACTGGGACCAGCTCGAAAGCCACCCACATCGGATCGGCTTCAAAACAGCAGCTGAGAAGGAAATAAATGACCTTCGAAGACAGGGTACCTTTACATCTGTTCGAGATGAACAAACACATGCATTTGTAATACCTCTTATGTGGGTATTTACATACAAGTTTGACAATAGTGGCTTCCTTGTAAAATACAAGGCTCGACTTGTCGTGAGAGGAGATCTACAGCGATACTCTATCCACGATGAAACATATGCAGCGACACTAGCATCGCGGACTTTCCGTGCACTCATGGCAATCACAGCCTACTTCGACCTCGACACTGATCAAATGGATGCGATCAATGCATTCACAAATAGTCGCATTGACGAAGAAGTGTATGTGCGCTGCGCAGATGGATATAAAGAACAAGGGATGTGCTGGAAACTCAACCGCGCCCTTTACGGATTACGACAGTCACCACTACTTTGGTTTCGTGACTTCTCAGAGACGTTAACATCTCTAGGTCTCACACAAGTTCCTGAAGCACAGTGTCTGTTCGTGTCCGACACCATAATAGTCTTCTTTTATGTCGACGACATCTGTATCCTCAGCCACCCAAGACATAAGCGTGAAGCAATAGACTTCCATACAAAACTCATGGAGGCATACGAGTTCCGGGAAATAGGGGAACTAAATTGGTTCCTCAGAATTAGAATTGTACGAGACCGCACTCGCGCAAACTTTGGATGTGTCAAGATTCATATATTGAAAAGATTATTGCATCTTACAAGGTCACACAAACAAGGATGCCGCGGACACCAATGATCACAGTTGAACTTACCCCATACAATGGGCAAGCAACAAAACAAGAGATTCATCTCTATCAACGGAAGATTGGATCAGTGAACTATGCCGCAGTCGTGACTAGACCTGACATAGCCCGCACAACACAAAAACTAGCAGAGTTTCTCATCAACCCCGGACCAGACCACCATGCTGCAGCCGACCGGCTCTTGCTCTATTTGCAAGGCACGAAGAATTATGCACTTCAATATGGACCAAACATTGACGAACCACGCTTCCAATGTTCAAGTGATGCCTCATATGCAGATTGTGAGGAAACAAGACGAAGCACAGAAGGCTATCTGTTTACACTCTTTGGCGGCGCCATTGACTGGCGATGCACAAAGCAGAAAACTGTGTCAACTTCGACAACAGAAGCTGAGCTCCTTGCGCTCTCTCACTGCGCAAAACAACTGTACTGGTGGCAGCGATTCTTCTCTATGATAAAATTGGAACTGCACGAAGAATATACCCTACAGTGTGACAACCTGCAAACTGTACGGCTCCTACTCAAGGAATCGCCCAAGCTCGTCACGAAGCTGAAGCACATCGACGTGCACTCCCACTGGCTACGACAAGAAGTTGAACACCAGAAGATTCATATCAACTGGATCACGACACATGAAATGCCTGCTGATAGATTTACAAAAGCACTCTCTCGACAGAAGCATGAAGATTTCATCAAGCATCTCAACTTGGTCGACATTAGTCGTCTACTGTAGATGACACCTTACAAAACCCGACCGGTACACATACAACACAAAAACCCGAGGAACACCAAAGTTCCACCACAACACCGAAGAAGTCGTCAAACTCCAATTATGTGTTCTACAGGTTATGAAAAGCGACAAAACTTCAATTAACACTCATTCATTTAATTAGTCTTTTCTTTTAAGTTACTATTATTATTATTATTTATATAAACTGTAACGTGGTTTACCACCAAACGGAATATCCCACCAAATGAAACACTTTCCGATAGCATCGCAACCTCAAACCCAATTACTCCACCACACCACAACAAAAAGATGCCTCAGAAAGCTAATGAAGGCCGAGTTTTACTAGCCATTCAAGCTACCAAATCACCCCACAAACTGTCCATCCGACGTGCTGCGCAGCTATATGAGGTCCCACATGTAACACTTACCCGTCGCATACACGGAAGCCAACCACGAGCTGGTAGACGCGACAAACAACGTCCATTGACCCCAATTGAGGAAGAGGAGCTCATACGATACGTACTTGACCTAGATTCGCGAGGATTTCCACCTCGAATTGAGGATGTACGAGATATAGCGAATCTCCTCCGTGCGACGCGTCGCGAACCCCCAGTTGGAAAAAACTGGCCCTACCGCTTTGTACACAATGAACCAAAGCTTAAGACGCGTCTCTCTCGTGCGTACGACCTCCAGCGAGCCCTCTGCGAAGATCCTGATTGTATAAGAAAGTGGTTTGAGCTGGTAAAGAACATGCAGGCGAAGTACAGCATCCAGGATGCTGACTTCTACAACTTTGATGAGACGGGCTTTATGATGGGTGTTATCTGTGGGAATATGGTTGTTACGAGCTCAGATCGAAAAGGCCGAGCAAAGCAGCTTCAGTCTGGTAATCGGGAATGGGCAACAGCGATTGAATGTGTGAGTGCAGACGGCTTTGTAGTGCCTGCATACTTGATTGTACAAGGCAAGCATCACCTTGCGCCTTGGTACACAGAGTGCGGCCTTCCACCTACTTGGGCCATCAAGACCTCACCAAATGGCTGGACCGACAATGATACAGGTCTAGACTGGATAAAACACTTTAATCAGCATACACGTGTACGAACACAAGGGGTCTGGCGGATGATTGTCCTAGATGGCCATGAGAGCCACCTATCTGCCCAGTTTGATATGTACTGCAAGGAGAACAACATTATTACGCTCTGTCTCCCTGCGCACTCCTCACATCTTACCCAGCCTCTTGATGTTGGGTGTTTTAGTGTACTAAAGCGAATGTATGGTCGAGAACTTGAGGTCTTCATTAAGGCCTCTATTACCCATATCACTAAGATTGAGTTCTTTATTGCATTCAAGGCTGCCCACGACCATACAATGACAACTGAAAATATCCTAGCTGGCTTTCGAGGTACTGGCCTAGTCCCGTACAACCCAGAAGCAGTTCTCTCAAAGCTTGATATCAAGTTACGGACGCCAACACCAACTGGATCCCCCCTACTAGAGGCTGACCCTTGGGTCCCTCAAACGCCACAAACCCCAGCTGATGCAATTTTGCAGTCTAAGTTTGTACAGAATAGAATTGGAATTCATCAAGGAAGCTCCCCAACAACGATTTTTTCAGCTGTAAAGCAGCTGGTGAAGGGTACAGACCGCATTGCGCACCAAATGACCCTTATACAAGAGGAGGTCCGTACCCTTCGAAAGGCCAACACAGCACTTTCAAAGCGTCGGAAAGCCAAGCGTACACGTGTCCAAGATGGAGGGTCACTTACTATAGAAGATGCTCAAAAACTGATCGCTGAAAAAGAGGATAAAGGGTTGAAACGACAGAAAAGGTCAAATGAGGAGGGTGCTGTAGAGGCTGGTCCATCGACTTCGCGGCGCTGTGGGAGGTGCGGCAAGACTGGGCATAATGTACGAACCTGTCAAGAGGTTGAAGAGATATTAGGAGAAGAGAATTCAATTGAGTGTAGTTAATTTTAATGTGTTAGGGTGGAGTAATTGGGTTTGAGGTTGCGATGCTATCGGAAAGTGTTTCATTTGGTGGGATGTTCCGTTTGGTGGTAAACCACGTTAACACCTGGGGGGGTGTGTTATAATATACAGGGGCTACAGTAAGCGACCACAGGTAGAACCACAGAAAAACTCTGCCCTACGAAGGGAAAAGAAAATTTACTCAACAGAGAAGGTCCCCTGCCCAAAGCCAACGGAACGTTAACCCTAGACTCCTGTCAGATCGTACGGGGACAAGTGCCGTCCTGTACGATATATGATACCGCAGCAGGAAGATGTGGAGAACAACCTTGTGCTGTCTGTCACCTTGACGCCGCTAGTGCGGGTAGGATAGATAGATTGCGCACTATCTAGCGAAGAATTTCAGGAATTGTCTATAGTGCACGTGGAGGTCTCAGTCATGTTCAACGTGGTGTGATTCAATCATAAGCTACAAGCGCTCACATGAGTTGCAATCATTAATATTCACTCCATTCACCAGAGCCTACATGCAGATATTTTCCCTGAAACCACCACCCCGTCCGCCTTTCAAACTCCTTCCAATAACAAACTCACACCGAATAGACACGCCAAAGCCACCGCTTGCTTTTGAAAATCACACCTGTCCCCCCTTAGAGATCTCGCCTGCTCACAGCCGCTTCCCACTCGCACATATCCCTGCCTGACGCGCACAAGCTCCCATATCGGCTAGCAACCAGCAATGCCACGACATGGGCCAGTAGTAGTAGCGTCGTCATAAGTCTCTCTATCCTGCCTACAAGGACCAGGTCCATAGCAGCGAGCATGAGTAGGGGTGCTGAGACGAGCGGATTGCTCGCCCATGGCAGACATGGCTTTGTGAGCGTGTATGCTTTGAAGAGGAAGATGGTGAACTTGGCCACATATGTCAGCAGCCGCCCGTTAGACTGCATCCAAGATCTTGCACTGTGCGAAGCCAGTGCAATATGTTGGTTGAACCTGCCAATGCGACCAGATGGTGGAGGCATTAGTAGCGGCGTCGTCACCTCGGGCTGCGAATCAAGGTGATTCGACAATGTTTTCCGCAGCGCATGAACCCTCTCCCCGTCTTCATCTTCAATATATGCTGCCGAGACTGACCTGGTGCCGTTACTGGATTTTGCCCCTGCGGCCGGAGAATCAACCGGTTGTATCCTCTTGCCGACATTCAGGTTATTTTTCGACCTGGACAAGCTCGCTGCCCCCTCCAAACCTGAACCGGAGCTGATGGCTTGCAATATATCGGTTGCGCTCGGCCTGTCGGCAGGGTTGAGACTGAGAAGTCGCTTCAAGAAGGTATATAGCTGGTCTGGGAGATCCGGGCGCTCCTGCCGTTCATCCCGGAAGCCCTGCCACGAGCTGATTTCCGCGCGAAGCTGATCCAGGTCCTCAAATTCTTCCTGGATGTTCTCGGCGCTGAGATATGGCAGTCGCCCAAAGCACATGAAGTAGAGGATCATGCCAAGGGAGAAGATGTCACTCTTCGCCGTGAAGTTCCCATATCGACCCGATGCATCTTGCCGCAGAACTTCAGGAGCACAGTAAGATATCGTCCCAGTTGCCCCTGTTGACTTCCTATATACGTTCTCGGCTTGTACTTCGCCAAAATCGCTGATGAGGCACCGAAGGTCCTTTTCGCCTCGATGTAACAAGCAGTTGCTGGGCTTCAGATCCCGGTGGATGTAGTTCGATGCATGCAAGTGCGCGAGCCCCGATGTGATGTCCTTGAAAAAAGAATAGATCTCGTCAAACGCCAGTTTCTTCTGAGGCGACTTTAGCCCTTGCGGCCGATCCAACTGCCCCTTCGATCTCCTCCTCATCTGTGCCTTGAGTTCCTCGTTGGTGCTTGTCGCAGACCCGCCTTTACCAATCACGTAATGGAGTAGATCACCCGCATTGCAGTACTGCTGCAAAATAAATGCGCATGGCACCGATGGCCCGAAGCGATTCAGCTTGAAATCTTCGAGCCAGACGTGACGGTAAGAGACGAGGTTGGGATGCGATAGCTGTTGCAAGAGCTGGACCTCAATGAGCACCTTTTCCAGCCACTCGTGATCGTCCCCAACGGGAACCCTTTTGCAAGCAAAGTGGCCCAGGAACACACCATCAAGCTCGTGTCTTACCAGTAAGACAACTCCCTTGCCACCCCTTCCCAACTCGCTCTCCACAGTAAAAAACTTCTGGAAGTAACTGGGACTGAATGCGTCCCTCTTTATCCCTAGCGCTTCTCGTCCACTCTGGCCTGCCGGCGCACTAGTCACAAACTCTGCGTCGTCCGATTCTTCAACCCCCTCGGTATCAGCCCTATGCCCACCAGCACTGGGAGCTTGATAAGGCTCGCTCCTAAGGACCGGCTCTGTAAGCCGTCGTATCGGGCTGCTCGGTGGTTCTCTCTCATCTTCGCTCCCTGGCCCAGAGGCAATTTGCAGCATGCGAAAGTATTCGGGGTTGACGAAGCTCTGTCCGTGGTTTGGGGCACCGGAGAGTGGGTGACCTTCGTCGGTAGAGGCGCTGTGGATGGATTGATGGCAGTAGGGACATTCTGACAGCTTTGGGGCAGCAGAAGCGCCGCGGAGATTCAGCTGGCGCGTCTGGGGATCGCGCACAACAATGGCGTCGTCATGTTGACTGTGAAGTCAGTCAGCGGCGGACGGTGAAGTGGAGGTGGGGTAGGAGAGGCGTACAGAACAATCTCACGGCTATCGCGAGAGGAGTATGGAACGAGGGACATTGAGGCTCAGAGATGCCGCATTTGTAGACTGTTGAAGTGATGAATGCTAGAAGCAAACACTATTCTCTTCACGTTATCTGAGTGTGCATTGCTATTCCACAATCAAGGTTTACTGAGTTGGACTTAATACTTGGCTTATGCTCAGCATTGTAATACTGTGTGACGTAAGGTCATGTGACGCCAAAATATGTCCCTGAAATCTCTCTTATTTTGCTGTTATGAAAATAGCTAAATTTCCATTGGAAATATGCCTTATCTAGGACTGTTGACCTGCAGTTTATACTCCCTTTTATTGTTCACAGCTTGTGGTACCGCCAACTTCAAATTCCAGATTTCGGCAAGGATAGTTTCCGCCCCCGCAAATCCCATTGTCCCCCCCATTGTCCCCCCCAATTCCCTACCCCGTACCCCGTGTCACGCCATGTTCAACCTTTGAACCCCTAATTAATAAGCTTAATTATATAATACAAGCAACTGGTGGTGTTATCCCAAACTCCACGGGACGACAGAAACGCTTCCTGCGCAATGCTTTTAGTTCAACGGGAGACTGAGCTCTTTCGTCAACACGTGTATGTTGTTAATAAGCCCTTCTACAAGCGCGTCGTATCTATGCGGCTGCGAAGATTGGAGACGCTGTCCTTGCTCAACAAGGGTTTTCGTGTCTATCTCAATCTCAAGCTCATGCTCCTTATCGCCCTGGACAACGTGTTAGCTAGGTTCTGCGACGAAAGTAATAACAGCACTTACTGAAGCTGACGTAACCTGCGTGAGATCTATCTGATAATGTGATTGCGTGTAGCTCAAGCGGTCTTTGTTCCGGTCTGGCTGATTCTTTTTGTCAGAGCCCCGGGCCAGAACCTCACTGTCCCCGTCATATCTCATTTCGAGGTTGACGCTTATACGACAATCCAGAGGAGAGTTCGGTATATAGATATCTAAATCTTTGACACGTGTTTTGATAATCTGTGCAAGTGGAGCACCTGTTTTTTGGTCATGAGTAATCCGGACCTTCGGGGCGTGGTGACTGCTCTGCTTCAAGAAGTGCTGAATACTCGGCGGTAGTGTTTGCACTATTGCCTTGGGAAGTTCGAAGAAGCTATCCCGCTCTCGCCTGTGTGCATAGCGAACTGGTACCCGCGGCTTGGGCCTATTCACGTTGCTCGGATGGGTCTGTGTCACAAGACCATTTAAAAACTCGTTCATTCTCTTGTGTTGTTCCTGCAGTTGTTAGCTTCTACTTTGGGCCACTGGATCAATGGGACATACCTCTGTCATGGAGCTTCTGAACGAAATACGGTTGCTTGAAGCTAGGACACACTCTGAAAGGACAGGCAGGTAGTACCTTTGGTTTGTTTCTTTGTCAATGAGCTGTCCTAGTTTCGCTTCGATTTCCACCGCTACTCCTCGGCTCTCTAGCTCGCCCCAGTCATTCCTGTTGACAACTTCGAGATATAAGAAGTCGGCAATGGCTTTGGTAAGGTCGTTCACTGGCGTAGTATCCGAAATGCTTGGCTCCCAGGGCCCAAGAATATCGTCAAACTTGGTGGCAGCAGGAGAAACGCCCGCTTCTTGTTTGGGGGTTTGCGGCTGGGAAATTTCGGGTGACGCATGGACGGCAGGCTTTCCATTCGCCTGGCCAGAAGAGGCTGGAAACTGCTTGTTCTTCTTGTAGAACATCCAGCTTTGAGCCCAGATCGGTGGTTCATTATATCGTCTACGTTTCCTGGGCTCTTGCGGAGATTGACTCTTATTACTCATTGATTGATCACCGTTTGGAGCGCTCGAGGGAGCTTTTGCATCGGAACTTCGCCTATCATCAATTTTTCTCTTGGCAGGTGTTGGCGCAGGATCTGCTGCTGGTGTACGTTGTCGGGCCTGGTTGGCCGCTTCGCTCTTGGGTTGTCCAGACACCGTTGTCTTTGGGCTCACGCTCATACTGTGTTCTCTTTCGCTTTGGGAGTTCCTCTTTGATGGTGCAGAGGCTGGGGTTTGATTACGAGGAGCCGGCGTCGTGGGAGCTGCTAATGAAGGAGCGCGTTGTTGATATGGGCTCGTTGGGAAGGGATAGCTTCCGGTTGATTGGCGCTGTACAGTCATGGGCTGGCGAAACGGGGTGCCTGGCTGTGATCGCTGCGCCTGGTCTTGTTGGAAGGGTGTTGGCGGGAAGGCGTTATTGGCAACTGGGCTTTCTTCAAGATGTTGCGTATACAAATTTTGCTGACTTTGAGCTGAGGTAGGTGTGGGACTCGAGTGAGATGATTGAGGTCGCTGGTGTGGCGGGAAAGGGTAGGATGTGTTCGAACTTCCAATTGGAGGTGTGAGCGGCACGGGAGACGCTTGTGGATAGCTCATGTGCTGAGGTTGAGGTTGGGCGTCGTTTTGTGAATAGCTTTCGCGATGGCGGAGTGCTGGTGGGTATTGTTGAGCCTGACCAGGACTTTGAGGTGCTGCGTTTTGTGGAAAGGGGAAAGCTCCTCCGCTTGTCGACGAAGAGGGAGTATGGCGAAATGGAGATTGGCCGGAATAATGCGACGACGTAGCTGGGGATCGGAGGTCGTTACTCGGAGGCTGAAGGGGAGGAGGCGGAGGTGGTCGTCCTTGAAAGGACCCGTGGTATGCTGTTGGAGAGGTGAATCGTTGTGCTTGCGTGCCATAATCTTGCGACGCTTGTTTACTCGGTGGCGCGGGCTGGCTGTGCTGGTTATATTCTCGGTACAGACCTGGCGATGGCCCAGTTTGCACGGGAGTCGCAGGTTGTGCTTTGTCCTGCCTCGAGGTGTCTCCTCCACCTTCGTTGTTGATTATCGACCTCAGATCCATTGTTCCGACAAGTCCGTAGTCCCGGTCACTCAGCGGCCACGGCCTCCCAGTATGTCCGTCAACGGTTTGGTATACAATATGCCTTCATTGAAGTTCAGCCACAATTGCCGTTCCAGCTGAAGTCTATCGGATTCAGGACGAGCTGGTGGTTCATGAGTCTGCCCAAAGTCGGGTCGGTTGGAGTTGCGCCAACGCCGTCAGCACAGAACTGGCACTATCGAGGTCGTCGATTTTATCGGCGTCGCACTACGAATAGTCGCGCGAAGGTATGCGCAACGTTTTCGCTGCAGCTTGACGCTCGGTTGCTGGTGATTTGAGATGTTGTAGAATATTTACACACTTCGTTCCCCCTGTGGTCAACGACGAATTCTGCGTCCGTCCGTTTGCTAAACGAAACAAATGTCGCGACCTGTCTACAAGACACGCAAGCGTCATCACACATAACCATATGACTTTCTACTCATCACTGGGCTCTCTATGAGGCTTCAAATAATATATAGCTATGTAGTGTCATTTGTAATAAAAATGCTACATTTATTTGCGATTTTCTCTTTTATTTTTCGATGGCGGCGACAGAAGAGACGCGTGCCATTGTGCTGCCTCAGGCATGGCTGCTTTGCATTTCACTATCCGGTTTAGGTAAAGCGTCAATAGCTGCGAAGCTCCAGGCTGTCGCGATTAGGTGTTTGCTGAAAGTTGAGGCTCAGGCATCATCGTGTGTGTGTAATCAACAAACACATTCCATCGCCATCAACCACTTCCGCCCCTCAACATCTCAATATACCCATTTACAATTGTGCGCATCTAGGACCTCACCCGCTCCTATCAACAACACACATAAATCGACGATATGCCCGGGCTCGTGTCGGCCACAGGCGTCCTCGGGTTCCTTTCCGACGAGGAACCCGAGCTCAAGATCTTCGCCCTACAGACCTTGAACGATGATATCGATACTCTCTGGACGGAGGTAGCGGGATCTGTTGGTCAGATGTGAGTTGCAACTGCAGTTTGAGATCCCATCGATGGCTTAACCCCCCCGTGCCTAGGAATTGGTTTACTAACAACTGGCGCTCACAGCGAGGCTCTCTATGAAGACGATACATTCCCGGAGCGCCGACTTGCGGCACTCGTGCTGGCAAAGGTGTACTACCATTTACAAGAATACAACGAGAGCATGGCGTTTGCTCTAGGCGCCGGGGACCTCTTCAAACTTGACAACGGCGGCGAATTCGAAGAGACCATCATCTCCAAGTGCGTGGATCAGTACATTGCCCTCTCGGCGTCACATCGTCCACGTGCATCAGATGCTGGCACCGGCGCTATTCCTACTCTCGCGACATCATTTGCGAATACCGCTGGCGATAGCAACGTGTCGGGTGCACTGTCTTCACCAACGACCCCATTCTCTCAGTCGACTCTGCCATCCAAGTCGCTGTTATCTCGCCAATCCACCGATATATCCGCCGATTATCCAACCATCAGCACAGGAGCTCTGTCATTATCTGTTGCGGACCGCAAGACCCAGGTAGCCCTGGAAAACGTCATCGAGAGGTTGTTCGAGAGCTGCCTGCGCGAGGGGAGATACAGGCAAGTGGTTGGGATAGCCATTGAAGCTCGCAACTTGGAAGTCCTGCGAAGGGTAATCAAGCGTGCAAGCGACGATGAAAAGAAGGCTGGAAAGCCAACAGACAATGGTTCCGGTCCTACTGAGGAGCTGATGGAGTACGTCCTGAACATCTGTATGGATGTTGTCCAGGAGCGTGCCTTGCGAACAGAGATCTTGAAGATGATCCTCGACTTACTAAATGACTTACCAACGCCCGACTTTTTCGCAATCGCAAAGTGCGTCGTCTACCTGAACCTGGATGGAGAAGCCTCTGCGATGCTCCGGAAGCTGGTGGAGAAGGGAGATGGCTCTTCTCGGGCCGTGGCATATCAAATCGCCTTCGATCTGTACGACAACGGCACACAGGAGTTTTTGGGAAATGTACAAAAAGCTCTGCCGACTGAGAAGAAGCCCGAGGAGCCTGCTGCTGCCGAAGGAGAAAGCGAGCCACTCTTGGGTGAGAACAAGGATCAATCCGGCGACTCCTCCAACGCCGATAACTTCTCCGCCGAACAGATCCAGATCTTCACCAACATCAGATCCATTCTCGACGGCTCCAAGAGCATCAAGCTGAACCTGGAATTCCTCTACCGAAACAACCACACCGACATCAGCATTCTCAACAAGGTGCGGGACAGCCTCGAGGGAAGGAACTCGATATTCCACACCGCAGTGACCTTCTGCAATGCCTTTATGAACCAGGGTACCACCAACGACCAGTTCTTCAGGGACAACTTGGAGTGGCTCGGCAAGGCGGTCAACTGGTCAAAGTTCTCTGCCACTGCTGCGCTGGGAGTCATCCACAAGGGCAACCTGAGCCAGTGCCGGAAGCTCCTCGAGCCTTATCTTCCCCGACCATCTTCTGTTGGAGGATCTATCTTCAGCCAAGGTGGCGCCCTTTACGCGTATGGTTTGATATATGCAAACCACGGAGCGGAGGCACTCGACTACCTCCGCCAATCATTCAACGACACCCAGGAGGAGGTCGTGCAGCACGGTGGTGCCCTTGGTCTTGGTCTTGCTGGCATGGCTACGGGGTCTGAGGAGATTTACGAGAACCTCAGGGCCATCCTCTATACCGACTCCGCACTCAACGGAGAGGCTGTCGGTCTCGCAATGGGACTGATTATGCTCGGTACTGGAAATATCAAAGCGCTCGAAGATATGATCCAATACGCACATGACACTCAGCACGAGAAGATTGTTCGCGGAGTGGCCATGGGCATGGCTCTTATCATGTTCGGGCGCCAAGAGGGTGCTGACGAGCTGATTGAGGGCCTCCTCAACGAAGCTGACCCAACTCTTCGTTATGGTGGAATTATGACCGTTGCCATGGCGTACTGTGGTACAGGAAGCAACAAGGCTGTTCGCAAGCTGCTCCATGTCGCCGTCAGCGACGTGAACGACGATGTCAGGCGTATTGCCGTCATGAGCTTGGGATTCATCCTTTTCCGTAAGCCAAGTAGCGTTCCCCGCATGGTCGAGCTTCTGTCCGAGTCCTACAACCCCCACGTGCGCTACGGTGCCGCAATGGCTCTCGGTATCTCATGCGCAGGCACTGGCTTGGATGAGGCAGTCGACCTGCTGGAGCCTATGATGAAGGACCCGACCGACTTTGTCAGGCAAGGTGCCCTCATTGCGTTGGCCATGATTATGGTGCAGCAAAATGAGGCCATGAACCCCAAGGTTGCTGCTATCCGCAAGGCCTTGAAGAAGATTGTTGGCGACAGGCACGAGGATGCGATGACCAAGTTCGGATGCTCTCTCGCGTTGGGCATCATCGACGCGGGTGGCAGGAACTGCACCATCGGTCTCCAAACGCAGAGCGGCAACCTCAACATGCCAGGTATCGTCGGCATGGCGGTCTTCACGCAGTACTGGTACTGGTTCCCATTCACCCATTTCCTGTCCCTCAGCTTTACGCCAACCTCCATGATCGGACTCGACCACGACCTGGAGATCCCCAACTTCAAGTTCCACAGCGCCACACGCCCAAGTCTGTTCGACTACCCTCCTGAGCAGGAGGTCAAGACTGATGAGGCGCCTACTCTTATTGCCACCGCAGTCCTCTCCACCACTGCCCAGGCCAGACGCCGTGCTCAGAAGAAGGAGCGTGCTCAACGCCATGAGAGCATGGACATTGACCAGACACCCACCACACCCAAGGTTTCTGCACCAGATGCCGAGAAGATGGATGTTGACGAGGAAGCCAAGGAAGGCGGAAAGAAGGAAGGAGAGGAGGCTAAGGAGGCAGGTGCTCAAGGAACACCCAAGAAGAAGCTCGAGAAGGAGATGGTCGGATATGATATCGAGAACATGTCACGTGTTCTCCCGGCCCAGTTGAAGTTCATTAGCTTCCCAGCTGGGCGATACAAGCCAGTGAAGAAGGTAAGCCGATTCCTCTCTGTTTTTAGTGGGTATATGTTAACAAAGTTACAGCCAACTGGAGGTGTGATCATGCTCTTGGACAGCCAGCCAGACGAGCCCAAGTCTCTGATTGAGGAGAAGATGAAGAAGGCCTCGGTTGAGCGCGCCGCCGCACTCCCAACACTCGAGGACCTCCGACAGGAGTCGTTCAGTCTGCGCCGCTTGGCCGACGCGCAAGGCGAAGCTGCCGGTGCATTGTCAGGGGCCGGTGCTGCAGCCGGGGCAGGTGTATTAACAGCCGTGGACGAAGATGGGGAGGGTGGGGAGGAAGCTGCCGTGCCCAACGAGTTCGAATACTTCTCTGACGAGGAGGAGGAAGAGGAGAATTAGACGCAGGGGAGGTAATTGGGGCGTCTGTATTACTATTTCTTTTAGTGTTTTTTTGCACTGGAGCATAGATGGCGGTGGTACGATAGTGAGAGCATAATGCAGAATATTACTTGAGCTTTATTATCTGTTGGGGTGTGTGAAGATTATGTTTGTATAAGTTTATCGCCAAAGGGTGCGGATGGGACTTTTTTAGAGCTGGACGGCGAAAGAAGAGGCATTCTCATATCAGTAATCTGCGGACGAGAACATCCAACCGCCTGGGTAGCTCAATCGGTAGAGCGTGTGACTCTTACTTCCTTATCTTAGTATACGAGATCATCTCAAGGTCGCGGGTTCTAGCCCCGCCTCGGGCTCAAATCCCGAGTGCTCTCTTGAGGAGTCCTCAACTTTTCCACTGGTAGTGGGGCATGTAGGAGATTTTTTTTTGGGTGGGGGGGGATATATGTATGCTTGGCGGCTTGTTCAATCGAATCTATAATATTCATTTTTTGATGTTTTCTATTTCTCCTGGGTTATGAGAGTAAAACAGCATTTTAGTATGCAAAATTATCTATTATTATTGCCGTTTTGCTCTTGCCAGGGCAGTGATATTTCGTAAATGCAGCGGCGTGCTAAAAAAGAAGTTTTCTGACGTCGAGTTTCCCCACACTGCCAATTGCCAGAAAACGCCGCAACAAACATTCAAATCCCAACTCTGAACAGAACGCCTCACATTTCTGAGAGCCACCATACACGCCCAGCAAAGTGTCCTCCAGTAGATTCTATATGAACTCACCTGTCCAAAAGGCCAGCGGGGGCGACTTTCGCGCCACAGCTCCCGTCCTAACTCAACCAAAATTATAAAACGACTTTCTACTAACAATCCAGACCAACTTTGACCCTTTTTCAGGTATATGAAGGGATCATTGGGCTTTTCGCGGATCGAGATCTCAAATCGAGACCTGCAGTCTAGCCCGCGTTTATACAAAATTCAAAGCCCAAGCACTGCGAAAACGGCGGGTAAGAGAAGTTTGAGTACCCAATTTCAACTCACCAAGCCCAGCACAAGCAGAATATACAAGGAGAGAAGCCCAAGCACCCATTTTCAACTCACCAAACTCACCATCGTCGCAGATCAACTCATTTCTCACCGCGCGTTACGCGGGAGCGGGACGACGGATATGATGGCGCATGTTCACCGAGGGTTTACAACAACCTAAACCCAGACATCATCATCATAGATGAAGCAGGACGTCTCAACCGTGCCGAGTACCTCATGGTAATGGGATATTTTGATATAAAGCAGTGCGTGTTACTCGGTCGTGGGGCATCGTTGGCGACAGTGACAGCGCTCATCGACAGCAATGGCACCGCGGCACGAGAATAATCATGACAACAAGATGGAAACGACGACAAGATGGAGCTGTCGAATCTATCCGGACACAATGAACGTACGTCGAATAGACGAGGGAAGCTGCTGGAAACCTGATGGGAGTTCTTGTTCTGGCGCAGGCGCTCTTCTGCCAGCTTCACTTAACTTTTCCCCCACCCTCGAGTCCCAAGAGCATGGTGAGGCCCTGTTGCGGGTTCTTTTCTCCGCTTTTGCTCTTCGTGCCTTACCTTTCGTGCTTTGTTTTCCCGCTTCTACAGCGACAGCTTTCTTTTCTACTGCAGCTGGTGTCTCCTTTGCGTTCTATCCGGTGGTTAATGGATGAGCTGTTTGGTTTGTTGTGGTCTCCCTGATATCAGTATGGGATGGGGGGACTGAGTTGATCTGGGAGATACGCGGGTTGGTGGCTTCAGAATAACACAGCAAGTTGGTGAAAGGGATTTGAGAGTAATGGGGTTGAAAAGTAAGTTAGAAGTAAGCCCAAGAAGCCCCGGGGTAGAGTTTTGAAGCAATCCTCGAGAGTAAAGATCGAGATTAAGTGAAGTTCAAAGTTTGAGAATAAGTTCAGCTACGAGTTCAACAGCAACTTCAACGCGTGAATAGAATGTACGCTAAAAACACTCTATCATCTCATCTGAACATCCGACATCCCTTTCACCTACTCTCCGCAGAGGTTACAAACCATAATCCCTTTCTTAATTGCACCTCCCGCGTTGTCAACCAGCTATCCAGCCACACATCCACACATCCCATCAGTCAGCAAGCAAGCAAACAAGCACAGCTCAAATCAACACAGCTCAGATCAACACAGCTCAGATCAACTCAGATCAGATCAGACCAAAACAAGAAAGTCAGTCAGCACAAACTGACACGAAGAATACCAAAACCAAGACAAGTACAAACAATGACGACATACCACCGTTCTCGTCGCGGGTCTCGGGCCGAGCGAGTGGGTGTCAGGGGGGAGAGGGACGCGATGGGTGGGTGGGTGGGTTTGCGGATTTACGTTTGCGGCCTTGGATGATTGCGATTGAGTTGGGGAGAGATGTGAGTGAGATGTGGGATGACGAGGAAGATTCAGAGCACAAGGGCAGTTTGGGAATAAGCTTCGAGATCTCGAGAAGCTCCAGTTATTGAAAGACGAGCCAAAGGTTCACCAAATCCACATCTGAAAGATCAAAAAGGTGGTAAAAAGATATTAGGAAATACCATTAATCTATATCCCCCCCTTCTAAATATAACCCAGTAATACAGAAACCCCATCCATCCGCCCGCACGAACGCACACAACAGTATGTTGTCTCTCTCCTGCTTCAGGTTCGATTGATCGGTTTCTCTCCCAGACATCCACGTAATTACTTCCTCCACCCTTCTTCCCCTTCCTTCCTCCCCGTTCAACTCAGCTCGCTGAGATCACCCAAGCCACGCAGACGAGCCGTGCATAAAATCGCAACCCATCACGAGCTCGAGTTCACCCATTCACTAACCCAACTCACACCCAACAGCCTGACACTAACAGACCACCCCTTACAACAGCATAGCCGCAACAGCCACAACAGCCGCCGCCGAGCCGCTGACTCCCATCCTGCTGGCCGCACCAGACGCAACCGGCGCCGGAGTCTGGGTGAACGCGCCCGTCGGCTCCGTGGGGGCTCCGCTGCTGCTGCCGCCGGCGGCGGTGGTGGCAGCGGTGGTGGCGGCGAGGGAAGGCTGGATGGATCCTTCGTCGGTGGAGGAGGGGGCGGTGACGAGGGTGGTGGTGGTTGCGGCACCGCCGGCTGCTTGGGTGGTGGCTGCGGCGGCGGCGGCGGATGAGGAGGATGAGCCGGTGCCGACCTTTTTGCAGAGCTCGCTGGTTAGGGAGAGGACCTCTGGGGGGGTGTTAGCTGTTATTCATGGGATTGAGGTGGAATTGGAATTGATGTGATAAATGAAGGATGGGTGGCTTGGCAGTGGAGGTGAGAAGTGAGAAATCCAGGGCGGTCAAAACGTACTAAGAGCATCCTCGGGCTTGCACTTGGTGGTGACACAAGGAGTAGCCGAAGCCTGGATAGCAGACATCTTGCCGCACTGGCAGGCGTAGTCGGTGATGGCGCACGACTGTCCCGCGGAGGCGGTGGCGATGCAGGTCAGCGCGCACGAGGGGATCTGGGACACGATGCCCGCGACGTCCTGAGCGGCGACTGAGGTGGCAGCTGCGACGGCAGCGATGAGGGCGAGTGAGAAGCGCATGGTGAAGAGATTTTTTGGGAGGTGAGAAGGAAGTTTGACTTGGCTTTTGGCTTTGGGATCGACGGCGAGGAGGAGGGTGATTATCTGTGGTGAGACGAATCGATTGGTTTTGTGGTTTGTCTGCCTGAGCGAGCGTGGTGGAGTGGAAGAAGGAGGGAAGGAGAGAGGAAGGGGAGGGAGGAGAATATGAACAGGGTGGGTTTTTTTTTTTGGGGGGGGGGGGGGGTGGGGGAGGGGGGGGGACGAGCAGAAAGCAGATTGAAGGGGGGGGGGAGGAGGAGGAGGAGGAAGGAGGATGGAGAGGATTGAGCCAATGGTGATGGGGGTATTTGCACTAACCCAAACCATCCTAGCGGCCTTCCCGCATGCACCCCACGATCAGCACGTTCTTCTCTCTCTGACCACTCACCTCGGATCCTCTGGCAGGGTTTGGGTGGGGATCCCTGCGCTCCAGACTAACCGCCGATCGGTATTAAATCGAGTGCATGCGGTGCCGTGTGATGGATGCGAACCGTTCGGCACCCGCAGGCATGCATGTGCGCGGGGTGTTTGGTCTGTTATGTGATCTCGGCAGTTTTCAAAACCAGAAGCAGTATTTTCAATCTCATCCTATTCCGACAGGACGGTATGTATGCCTAATCTCATAATACCCCAACCGCTAAACGAATGTGTTTATGCCCAACAGTGATATCTATATACACCACCAAAAATATTCTCCAAATCACTCACCCCCGCCACAATATCTTCAAAACACCCCCTCCAAAACAAAACTCCCCCACCAATGCCGCAAAATGCCCACCAACCCGCGTATATGTGAACAAAGCAAGACGCCTACTCCATCCAAATCCAGACCAGACCAGACCAGACCATCCATCTATCCCCCTTCCCCTTCGCCATCCCCAAGACTCCGCGTATGAAGGATTCAATCCCAATCTCATCTAAATATCCCCACTGCAACAGCCACAGCCAGCTGGCATCTCACAGAAATGACGGTTTCCCAGGGCTCGCTCACGAGGCAGCCAGGCACAGTCCTGCTTGCCTCCTCTCTTCCCTTCTCTTCTCTTCTCTTCAACCCTCCTCACTCTCACTTCCATCCTTCCACCGCTCTCACTCCCTCACGTCCCCCTACACTTCTCTCACAACGCCGGAGCCGCCGCCGCCGCCGCCGCTGCCGCCGCCGCCTTCTGCGCATCCCCCACCTCCTTAATGGCCACCATCTTCGCCTGCTCCTCCAACGAAAGCGCCTCAAACGCCGCCGTGTTCGCGTCCCACAGCTGGATACACTGGATCCCCCAATTGCACCTCTCCACCTCCCCATACACCGGGTGGCTGTAGCGCGGGTGCACGGTCGGCCACCCAGAGGCGTGGTACCTGTGCTTCACTAATGCGGTGCGCGCGTTGTGGTTCCCGGAATCGGAGTGGCCCTGCCCTGCTGCGAAGGCCTCGACCGTCAGCACGAGGGTGCCGCCGATGAGTTTCGACTCGCGCATGGCGTGGAAGGAGTCCCATGTCACCGCGTGTCCCGCCCCAGCGGAGATCTCAGCGAGAATAGCGGAGGTAAAAGCGGAGGGCCCGGTGCCGGAGATGACTTCGTCGAAGTCGAGTTTGAGTTGTGAGATTGGCACGCCCTGCGCCTCGGAGAGACGCTGGAGCCAGATGAGGATGCCGTCGACGAGACGCAGCATGACGGGGAGGCCGGGCTTGGCCATGAAGGTCCATTGGCAGAAGGACTGGGATTTAGGACCTAGGATAGGGTGGTCCTTGAACTCGGGCTGGTCAATCTCAACGCCGATTACCATGTCGATGTCGCCCTCGTCGTAGCGGTCGGGGATGAAGGAGTCGATGGGTTTGAGCGCCTCAACGTCGATGTCGGTGTACAGCCCGCCGTCGACGTACATGACCAGGTACCGCAGCAGGTCGGCCTTGATGATCTTGGCCGTCAGAGAGCGGTAGGTTTCGAGGATATCCGGGCGGTTGAGCCCAGCTGGCCCGTAGTGCGACTCGACGTACATAAGGTCGTTGCTGTCTGTGAGCACCTCGTAGCGATACCCCGGGTTCTTGGAGGTCCAGGTGCGCGCGCACGAGGAGTCGCGCTCCTCGAAGCCGAGCGGGTCGACCTTCCAGGTCTGCCAGATCTTGCGGGGGAACGTGGTGGCGAGGAGGGGTCGCTGGGAGAAGCCGCGCTTTGCGACGCGGAGGGGGGCGCCGAGGGAGTCGGCGTGGGAGATGATGAGGATGATGAGGATGCAGGCGAGGTAGACGGGGAGGGCGCGCTGGATCTGGCGCGGCAGACGGCCGGTGAAGGCGGCGGGGGCTTGGAGTTTTTCAATCATTGTTTTTTGTTGTTGGTGGTGGTGGTGGTGGTGGTGGAGGTGGAGGTGGAGGTGGAGAAGGGATTGTTCGGAAGAAGACGAGGACGAGAAGAGGAAGAGAGCAGCAGTGGGGGATGAGCAGGAAAACATTACCGTTTCGATCAGCACGGGAAGGGAAGAAGTTTGTGGGGGGGGTAGGGGGGGGGTAGGGGGGGGTAGGGGGGGGTAGGGGGCGTAGGGGGAGGGAGGGATAGCACGTACTTGGCCTTGCACTGGCGGACGGCCAATGTTGCCGTGTGCGGTGAGTAGAGTAGTACTACCACCCCACACTACTCTACCACCCCACCCTACTCTACCACCCTGTAGTGTAGGGTGGTAGAGTAGGGTGGGGTAGTAGAGTAGTAGGGTAGTAGAGTAGAGCTGTGTAGAGTAGTAGAGTAGAGTAGTAGAGTAGTAGAGTAGTAGAGTAGTAGAGTAGTAGGGTAGTAGAGTAGAGCTGTGTAGAGTAGTAGAGTAGAGTAGTAGAGTAGTAGAGTAGTAGAGTAGTAGAGTAGTAGGGTAGTAGAGTAGAGCTGTGTAGAGTAGTAGAGTAGAGTAGTAGAGTAGTAGAGTAGTAGAGTAGTAGAGTAGTAGGGTAGTAGAGTAGAGCTGTGTAGAGTAGAGAGTATAGACCTGAGTAGAGTAGTAGACCTAAGTAGAGTAGTAGACCTAAGTAGAGTAGAGTAGAGAGTTACCTTCTCAAGCTTTTCTGCCATATGCCACCGCCCATCCCATCCCTGTCCGGTGAATCCCCACCCCCCCTACGCCTAGGCTCCTAGTTCCGCACTAAGAATCTTGGCGATTTAGATGACATACATGACATACATGACATGCATCGGAACCAGGGGTTGGGTGATTAGTGCGACGATCCCCCCATTCACTCATATCTACCCAATTGCCGTCAATTCAATTCAGTCAATTCAGTCAATTCAGTCAATTCAGTCAACTACTCCGTACACAATATACACTTGACTCGACTCGTCCATCCATACCCCCAACCCCACCTTAGTACCAACTACTACTGTACTCCACACTCTTCCAGCATGTGATCATGCATCTCCCTCCCCTCCCCCTCACCCTCACCCTCTCCCTCACCCTCTCCCTCCCCCTCTCCCTCCCCTCCCCCGAAAAAAAAAATATGTCCCTCCACCAAGACGGCCTCCTGGGCCAGAAATGGCTCCCCGCCGACCCCGACAGCAAGCTCTCCTCCCTCGCGCGCATCACCAAGAACTGCGCCGGCTACCTGCGCCCCTCGTTCCTCACGCGCCCCGGCCGCAGCAAGACCAAGACGCAGCTAGGCCGGACGGCGTACCTCGATGGCCTGCGCGGTTTCGCCGCGTTTCTTGTGTACTGGCAGCATCACCAGCTGTGGGCGCACGGGGCGCTGGGGCCGGATAAGATCCTCGAGAATGCGTTCGGATATGACAATCAGTACTATTTCGCCTGTCTGCCGTTCATCCGCACGTTCCTCACGGGGGGCCACTTCGCCGTCACGGTCTTCTTCGTCATCTCGGGATACGTGCTGTCCGCGAAGCCGCTCGCCTTGATCCAAGGCGGCGAATATGGCAGGCTGGGGGATACCCTCGCGTCGGCGCTCTTCCGACGCTGGATGCGCCTCTACATCCCCGTCATCGTGACGACCTTCCTCTACATGACCTCCTGGCACGCGCTGGGCATCTGGACGGACTCGGACCACCAGGGCACCTACGGCGACGAGCTGATCAAGTGGTACCGCGACCTCAAGAACTTTACGTTTATATTCGACGGCAGCGGGGATCCGTTTTTCCACTACAACGGCCACGTCTGGTCCATCCCCGTGGAATTCAAGGGCTCGATCGTCATCTACACCTCCCTCCTGGCCTTCTCGCGGTGCCGCAAGAACGCGCGGCTGTGGTGCGAGCTGGGCATGATCTACTACTGCATGTACATCGTAGACGGGTCCTTCTTCTCCATGTTCCTTGCGGGCATGCTGCTGTGCGACCTCGACCTCCTCGCCGCCAAAGGCGAGCTCCCGCGCTTCTTCGCCCTCTTCGAGCCCTGGAAGGAACTCGTCTTCTTCAACCTCTTCATCATCAGCCTGTACCTCGGCGGCGTCCCCTCCAACAGCGCCGACATCAGCGTCCTCCGCGCGTCGAGCGGGTGGTACTACCTCTCGTTCCTCAAGCCCCAGGCCGTGTTCAACTACAAGTGGTTCTACCTCTTCTTCGCCTCCGTGTCGATGGTGGCGTCCGTGCCGCAAGTGCCGTGGCTCAAGACCTTCTTCGAGATGCGCTTTAACCTCTACCTCGGGCGCATCTCGTACGCCTTCTACCTCATTCACGGGCCGGTGATGTGGACGCTGGGAGATAGGTTATACGTCGCTGTCGGCTGGTATAGGGATGCGCATCTGAGGGGAGTGCCTGGGTGGGTGAACCTGCTCCCGTTGCCGAAAGCTGGGCCGTTTTTCGGGTTCGAGTTTAGCTTCCTGGTGCCGCATATTATTATCCTGCCTGTCACGCTGTGGCTGGCCGAGGTGGTGACGAAGACGGTTGATAAGCCGACGGTGAGGTTTGTGCAGTGGGCGTATGCGAAGACGTTGGCGCCGGTGCCTGTAAAGTTATGATGAGGTTTGGATTTATGATGGGTTGGCGTTGGCGTTGGATTGGGTGGTGTATTTTGGGCGGGCTGTATAGAATTGGAATTGGGGGATATTTATAGGAGGATCTATAGGATTGTATAGAATCAAAACATCACAGAAGCCGTACCTATGAAACCGTGACATGTCAGGAATTGACCACCACCACAAATCTCAATCTCAATCTCAATCCACACCCCCCTGAATCGTACCGCCCGCCGATCGAAGTACCACCCAACCCAGGTTGGTGCTAACGCTAAAACCGGTGGTGGTGCTCCCCCACATTTTGGTACCGTGTGTACCGTGTGTACCCCAATAAATTCCCCAGCGCAGCAAGCACATGTGGAGTGAGTGGTGGTGCGCCGGATTTAAACTCTCATTTCATTCACCTTTTTGACGACGACAGATAGCAACTCTACAACAAACAATTATTCTCGCCATCTCCAGCTCCATCGAGCATTCTTACATCAATCTGCTCCCACCCCACCACAAAATGCTCACCCGCCGCACAGCCCTCCTAACCGCCCTCCTTCTCGCCAGCACCTTCGTCCTCTTCCTGAACGCTGGTTCCCTGTCTCGATACGCGCGCTCGCCGCTTGCTGTGCCGCTTGCGCCTGGGCAGGAGGGGGAGTGGGATAGGCCGCAGTTACCCGGTGGGCAAGGGGGAGCGGTGGTGAATCCGGATGGGGGGGCGGTGGCTGTTAGTGATGGGGATGGAGGTGGGGGGTTGGCCGTGAGTAATGATGAAGGGGGGGGAAGAAGGAGGGGGATAAGGATGGGGGTTTGGGACGGTTGAATGGCGATGCTAAGAATGGTGGTTTGGGGGGATTTGGGGGAGAAAATAAGGACGCTGGTCTGGGGGGTCTCAATGGGGATGGTGGTTTTGGGGGGGACAACAAGAGCGGCGGTCTGGTCGGTTTTGGGGGGGGCAACAAGGACGGTGGTCTGGACGGATTTGGGGGAGATAATAAGAACGCTGGTCTGGGTGGCCTAGATGGCAACAGCCAGAGTAAAGAAGCTGGCAACACCGCGCCAATTGAGTTCCCACCCTCACACACCAACACCAACACCAACACCAACACCGCCCCTCCTGCCATCCTACCAGAGACCACCAATACCAACCCCTTCCCAGCACCCACAAACGCCGACGGCTCCCCCAAACACACCTACTTCGAGCAAGCCTTCTCCGCCTCCCCCCCTTTCCCCTACGACTTCCCCGCCCTCAAAGCGCAATGCGCACGCACCCACTGGCGCTCCGACGACGTCTACCTCCAATGCGGCGGCATGGCCGCGGGCCTCACCTCCATCATGTCGCAAGTCAAAGTGTGTCTAAAAATGGCCTTCGAAGCCGGCACCGGGCTTGTCCTCCCCAGCATGCCGCTCCGCGACTCGGACCATCTCCAGGAATTCAACCTGATGAACCAGGACGCGTATATGACGTACGACCAGTGGTTCGACGTTGGGCACCTCATCGACTCGGTTACGCGCGTGTGTCCGCAGATGAAGATTGTGCATCCCGCGCAGCTTGATACGGTGGAGTTCCCTGTCAAGCATAAGTGGCATATCAAGCTCGAGGATGCGAAGGGGTATAGGCAGTTTCTGAGCTATTTCTGGGCTGGAAGGCCGTTTGCGACGTTCTTCAATGAGCAGTATACGAAACTCACGCAGCTGGATACGCTGAATCCGCATAACAAGGCTGTTGAGGCTGGGGCGCCGGCGCCGAAGGGGATGACACTCGTGAGGATGTCGAGTAACTTCCTCCTTTTCCGCATCACCGACGACCCGACGGGGCAGGATCTGAAGCTCTGGAACGACTTGGGGCATCTCATCCGCTTCACCCAACCGACGCGCGATCTTGTCGCTGCACTCCTCGGCCATGTGCCAAGGCCGTTCTACGGCGTGCATTTCCGCGTCGAGTCAGACACCATCTGGTCCTCGCTCGAGAACCAGCTCAAGGTCGACCTCGACGCGCTCGACAAGGCGTGGGAGATGTTCGGCACGCCCGGCGGGGAAAAGCCGCTCGTCTACCTCGCGTGCGGGGACCAGGAGCAGGTTGCTAAATTTGTTGAGGCGGGCAAAGCGCGCGGATGGGAGGTGACGCATAAATGGACGCTTGCTGGCCGTGACAAGCCCACCCTCGAGAAGATCGACGCGCTGCCTTTCGATTTCCAGGGCGCGGTGGATATGGGGTTCATGGTGAAGAGTGAGTTCTTCTTGGGGATCACGGGGAGTGCGTTCTCGAGCACGATTGGGAATGCTAGGGATGTTACCGGGAGGTATAGGGGGAGTTCGCTGTTGCTTGGGAAGGGGGGGGATGGGGGGGCGGGGACGCATTTGTTTAATGATGGGGATGCGAGTCTTTATGCTTGTTGTTTGTGAGGCGGGGGGGTGATGTGATGGGGTGGGTTGGAGTTTCTGGAGTTGGAGGTTTGATTTGGTGGCCGACAGTTACTGAGCAATCCACGAGTTCAAAACTCTTCGATTCTTTAATATCTGATCTATAAATCTCTATAAACCTCCTATTATACATCCGTTCAGATTCCAGAAAAACAGAGGGTTTCTGAGCAATCCACAAGTTCAAACCTCTTCGTTCCCTCAAAATCTGATTTATAAATATCTACATATTTAAATTCCAAACCGAGAAACCTATAAGTTAGTTATCAAGTTATTCAAAGGTTCCAAAATCGTCTAGTTCGAATGTCTGATCTGTAAATCTCATTATCATATTTCCATTCACATTCCAAGAAAACAAACCAACTGTTTCCAAACAATCCACAAATTCAAAACCCTTTATTCCCATAATATATAATCTATAATACTCCATAACATTATTCCCCCGCTGTGAAGGCCCGAGATCGATCTGAATCACTATGGAGACCATCCACGCCACTATGTGATAAAGTGACCATGGCACGTGATTTATAACTTTGGATTTGTCTTCTAGTTGATGGCTGTCTAGGAATTATACCTCGTCGTGACTGTTGCTGGGCTCTGATGCATTATTTGAGGCATTTTGTAGATTTACAAGTAGAACAATATGAATAGAGCGTGACTGGCTGCGTCGTTGCCGTGGAATCCCCATCCCCGTCGACACTCGAAACAGAGGCAGTAAAAGGGTTATTCTGCTTCCAGAACCCTAACAGTTGAAATCACACAAAAAGAACTACCAGGAACTGTCAAAATCAACAGAGACTATAATCACAAGAACGCGCATTTCAATTTCAAATTTTCCATTTCTTATTCTAGAGTACGACACAGTGTGTATGCTTTATTAACACACCACCCCCCCGATCAGAAATCAGCGACCAAACAAGCCATCCCTAAATTCCGACACCATCCCAAACACCTCCCATGAATTTGCCCAACGCCACCCAGTACCAGGCGCCGCGGAGTGAAGAAGTGCACGTCCGATCCCATCAACCCAGAACACCACGCAGGCATTCATGCCAGAAAACAAACGAAACAAAAAAGAACTATACCCACAGGCGAGTAGAGTCTTCATCCGGACCCCCGCAGCATATGAGTGCTGCAAGCGCACCCCAAAGGAGGACAAGCACGAAGAAAGAAGAATCCGGATACGAAGTGAACATAAGATATATTGGCAGACCGGCAGCTCAAAGCTGCACCCGCATCGCGTCGCACCCTGGTAGTAAGGGGGTTTGAAAGGAGACGTGGGGTAACAGTTAAAGACACACGGAGAACACCGACGCCGGTTACGTGAACTCGAAGTAATGAGTCAGGTAACGGAGGTCGGATCTGAAAGACCACACACGAAGAACACCGCTTTTGCCATGGACATGCTTTGTTGGAATCCGAACAGTCGAGAAAATACCGGAGAGAAACAAGATGTAGCAGGAACGGGGTGAGTGCATGGTCGAGGCGGCAGCTTAGTTGTTGCTGCTAATAGCCGTGGATCCGGGCTCCTGCGAAATTCTAAGCGCATTGTAAAGACGCTCGTATTCCTCAGCGTCCCCAGTGTTGCTGCTACCGGCGGTGAATCCGGGCTCTGGCGAAATTCTAAGCACCTTGTGCAGACGCTGGTATTCCTCCATCTCTTCAGGCTGGATAGGCTTGACGACAGCTTTACGTGGGCGCTGGGGATCCATCTCAGGGGGGCCGTACGAGGATGGCTTGTTCTTGCCCGAACGAGAACGTGGGGTTGGGGCGCCTGGGATCACTGGTGCAATGTTGTTCATAGGGATCGTGATTGGGAGGCCCAGCGCATGCTTCCAAGGGTTGATGAAGATCTGTCTGAAGACACGTCTACAGTGGGCGCGCAGATAGTTGCAAGCATCGGTTGAGATGGTGATGTAGATCACGGCGTTGAAGAATCCCTGAAGCGGCAGAAGAAGAGCTTCCACGAAGTTAAGCTCGAACGACACCAGGGTTGGATTAATCAAAGTCGCAATGCGGTTGCTGGTAGCCGGGACCTGGTGGTGATTAGTATACATGAATAAATGGGGAGAGATCAAGATAGTGAGGTGTGAAGGCGGGGAGAAAGAGTTCAGAGGAAAGAAAGTGGAGGGAAGGGAGGAAGACATACCCAGGTAACGAGCATAGCGGTGAAAAAAAGGAGGGCACACTTGAGGTAGGCCCACGCGGCGCGGTCGGCGCTGGACACCTCTTTCTTCTCCTTCTGGGCCTTAACCTTGGCAGTGGAAAGACCTTCCATGCATTCGACGCGCTCGAGGGAGTTAGCACATGGTTCCGAAGTGACGTCGACTTCAGTGATGACCGAAATATGGCCCTGCTCTAGGACAGACGGACTGGCAACAATGGAGGCGGCCATGGAAGCTTGGTTCCTAGAGGCTTGAGCGGTCAATTCACGGAAGCGGGCTTGGTTTTGGAAGACAATTCTGCCCACAATGATGTAAATAGCCATCGTGGTAAGAAGAACTACCCTGGGCAAGATGTTAGTAAGAGGTGGAAACGTTGAGAATGAGAATGGCCGAAATATGAGGGGAATCGATGTGGGAGTAAACGAAATCTCGGTCCGGAGTTGAAGACCAATAGAAAAAACTGTGCTGAAGTGAAATATGGCCGTAGAATAAATAAAAAACAAGTAACATAAACGATCAATTATCAAAATAGGACACACCCATGCTCACAAGTGTATCGAGGTTTGGGGTCCAGATCGGAAAGGGAGGAGTAGATCAGGGCATGTATAAGTCCACCAACAAAAAATTCGCAACAGTGGGAAAATTCCAAACAACAAAAAGTGTGCTGCAGGGTCAAAGTCGCTTCCGAATAGATCGGAAGCGAGAATAAACCAAAGCAAGCTGTGCATCGACGCCAGAGGCGCGTTGAAAGGGTGAAGAAAGAGAAAACAAAAATAAAAGAAATGAGAAATTGCGTCCAAAACTCACCAGACAGGGCCGTAGAAGGTGGCAATACGGAGAGCGTTCCATTTGACGGTCACCCAGCACCAGAGCTAAAAAGTTATTAGCCACATAAACGAAGGTGACATGTTTGCTTTGAGAAGAATATAAATCGAGGAGGGAGGGGAGGGGTAGGGGGAACTTACTGTAGCATTCCCAAAAATGTGACCACGCTCCTCATTCCGAACCAACATAAATACTACTGCTGGGATAGCCGGAATTCCATAGTTGAAGGTGAAGTAATATTTCTCGAGAGCCGTGAATTCCGGTTCACCATATTGATAGAAGAACGTGAGGAACACATTCAGAGCCATAGAAAACATCCAGAGTGCATCGGCAGGCATGCACCTAGAAATAGTGTTAATACGGATGCACGGATTAAGGTCTAATCTGAGTAGAAGTTTATCCTCCCAGTTTGAACTAAACTGGGAGGGAGCAATAGGAAATGGTAGTATAAAGACGAGGGTACTCACATCTGAATAATGAAAGCTTGGAATTGGCAGAGTGATGAATTCTCACCAGCCAAGATTCCGGAGCGGGAGATCAGAGTGGCTACATTCGTAGCAAGGTTGCCAAAGGTGGCGTAAAACACAAGACGATTGATCGGCTTGCGGAAGATCCTCATTGAACAGAACGTTGCAATAACGAAGAAACAGCCCAATACAGATAGTACAGAAGAGACGCGCTCAGCATACTGAATAGCAGCAACCTCTTTAGCTGTAAAAAAGAGCTTCTTGACCGCCATAGTACCTGGTGAAAATTGTAGGAACCGTGAAGATTGAGGCCGGAGAGTTGAATGGTTTGATTTGAGTTGATCAAGATTGATTAAACGAGTGCATCAATGTGTTGATGAATAGAATGAAGTGAGCGAGTGATCGAAGAGGCAAGAAGTAAAAGGGTGAATGAAGTGAAGAAGTAAAAAGGGTGAAGAAGTAAAAAGGGTAAAGAAGTAGAGGGTGAAGGAGGTGAAGAAGTAAAGGGGGTGAAGGAGGTGAAAAGGTTGTTGTGGGGGTGGAGGAAAGTTTATGATAAACGGAAGCGTTTAGAATGGCGGAAGCGTGTTGTGAACGTTTGGCTCGCCGAGAAAACAAGCGGGTCAGAACTGAACCAAGCCCGTTTCAGTGATTAACAACAAGAAATCTGCTTGATCGCTTGATCGGGAAAAGTGCGGTCTCGAGGTTGTTCTTCCTAGTGGAAGCGTTTTTGCCTAGCGAGGAGGGAGGAAACGGGGGGGAGGGCGGGGGCGCAGGGGACTCGGCGAGAGCGTCAGAGGGGTTGGCACAGCGGCGAGAGCGGCGAGAGCGGCGAGAGTGGCATGGCCTTCTTCTTCTTTGTTCTTGGTATCCTTAAGACGAACAATCTTTCGCCGTCGTCATGTCGTATATATATATGTATATATCTCTTCTTTGTTTCCCGTAGCTTTATACGAGCAATCGTCCTCTCGTCCCCCGTTATACCGAATATATATCTGCTCACGCCGTCATAGCCGATAGGAACCCGACCACAGGAGCGAATAGAATATAGACGCAAGTTCGTAAGAGCACCAGCTTCCTAGAGACATCCTGCAGCAGATATTCTCAAGTATGTCTCATCCGTTCTCATTTATTGATCCTCCCGCGGCAATCCTCCCACGGCGGCAACCCTACCCAAGAATTCCCACAACACCAGAAATACAGAACCCAGGCAAGATCATATTATATGTTGGCTTCCTCGTCCATCCGCTGACCAGGAACAGAAGTTTCACTGCCAACGAACCGGGCGCCAGGGTATCAAAAAAGCCAAAACAAAGGACAGCGTCCGCAATATGGCGATCAGGAACACGGCGTCAGTCATCCGGCAGGTCTGAGTTAGCCGCCACCACCTATCAACCACTTCCTGCCCGGGCCCGTTTCCCCTCTATCAATCCAGCCGTCACTGGAGACATATCTTGCCTCGGATATGATCAGACCTAATCAGTCTTAATCCTTTGTCAGCCCATGTTCTCTTGCATCAAGCAGTCTGGGGCAGGGCGAAAGGAGGAGATGGTAATCAGCAGCGATGGGAAGGGATGTCTAGCATTTGATAGCTTGGTCTTGCTTGAACTTGCTCTCCCAAGCCCGGCCTCTCAAGCCAAAAATGGCGAGCCGTGCCTCTTTGGGCTTGCCTAGCTGGCAATGGGTGCGGTGGTGGTGGCGAGTTGGTGGAGGTCATGTGAAAGTGGTGATGTGTAGGAATGCTTGGGATTCTTGATGCGGCTGGAATCCTCTGGAGCTTCCATGGAGAAAGGTGATGCTGCATTCAGGTGCTGAAATGGGGCAGCGCGAGCAGCCTGAAGAGATCCCTTCCCATCTGCCATATCAGCCACATCTTACCCCTCATGCTGGCATGGGTATGGGTGAATAAAGCAGTGGTTCTGGTCCTTGCTTGGTGAATTAGGTACTAGATGTGCATCTCCTTTGTCTTTATTTTCTCTCTGGAATACAGTTGCCACCGCCATGGGATGGGAACCACCCTGATTACTCCTGGAAAACATCTGTGAGTACTCTGCTCTCTACATATCTCACAGTGTGACTGACATATGGCTGATATACACCCTCCGTCCCTACCCATGCAAAGGGTCACATCCTGTGAGAAAGCCCAGAGAGTGGAATGAGAGAAAGACGAGACAAAGAGAAGTGGTGGGCAAGGAGTGGAGAGACCGAATAGGGGGAAGGAGCGATGGTGGCCGTCAGCACCGGGGACCTGGGAGGCAGCAAGGGGGCAAGAGCAAACAGTTGTTGTTCCTGGCGCTAGCCAAGAGCAGCTAAAGGCGGGAGCGGATGGCTGACAGCGGGAGGCAAAGAAGCGGAGCCACGAGCGAAAGGGGAATGACAGAACAGTGTGGGCATGTGAGTCTGCATCTGTTGGCGGCTATTTGCACCTGAGGGAGGAGAGCATGGATGGGATACAGGATGCACTACAATCCTCCGTGGAATATGTAGGAAGGCAAACTACAAATCTTCACGCATTTGAAGCTTTCAGTCCTTGGCTGTGAGGTGAGTGGATGGATATTGGGAGTATGAATGTGGATAAAGGGAGGGGCAGAAGAGACACAAAGGGAGCAGAAACACAGTGACGATGACAAGGCCGGATGGGATGAGAAGGAACGGTGTGAGGTTTCAAGCAGCACGATATGGCCAAGAAGAACTGACACTCACATAGCCATCACTATCCTCTGCTGCAAGTGAGAGAGTCTCATCAAAGCCGCATTGACCGTTCATCATCATCACCTCCCATCTCAGGGCCACCCAAATATACGCCGATCCCAACGGCGATCAGAACTCACCGACCCACCATCTCACCTATCCTGTACCCGTACCTTGCATCTCAGATGCATCATCTCTAAAAGACCGAACAAAACAGAATAACCATTATTATCGGACACTACAGTGAGGGATCCCAATGGCTGGTGTACAGGGTGCAGCTAGGTTTCTTTGTTGCAAGTGTTGAGACAACCAGCATCATCGACGTTCAAGTAAGTGGTGCACGGACCAACATCGCGTCTCCCTCTCAACTCCTGGAAAAAGCGCGACCAAATTGACACTCCTCCCAGTCAACACCTCGACCCACAATGGCCGACAATATGGACGATGAGACGCGCGAGGTAAGTACCAGAATCCTCACATTATGCGGCTGAAGTACTAACGCACCCGCAGCGCCTCAAGGCCGCCCTGTGGTTCTCCATCGGCAAAATCGTCGACGCCGAGACCCTCCGCCTCGGCGTGAACGCAACCCCCCAATTCATCGGCGCGCTGACGGAGATGGTATGGGCGCAGATCGGTAAGCCACCTTGGACACCCATCACCAGCAAGGGGCGAATTGTGCTGACAACTTGCCTAGAAAGCGTGTCTCAGGACCTCGAGAGTTTCGCGAAGCACGCTGGTCGCTCGACGGTCACGACGGATGATGTACTGCTTGTTACGAGGCGGAACGATGCGCTGCATGATATTATGAAGGAGTTTATTGATAAGGAGAAGGCGGCGAGTGGGAAGGGGAAGAGGAGGCAGTGAGGTCTTTCATGGTGGGGGGTTAGAGGGGCGTTTGGGGCGTTTTGAGGTTCTACGGGAGATACACCACCATGGTTGCTTTGCAAACTGTGCAAACGAAATAGGACGAAGAAATGACAATAATCAATACATGAGAGCCCTTCGATTGGGAATGGAGTTTCCTCAGCGAGAACCTGGGCCTCGTCAATTATGGATCCGAGATTCCGGACCAGCGAATGGGGATCGTTGGGATGTAACAGTTGGCGGCGCCGTGCTCCTCGACTAGGAAAATTTCCAGTTGAGCTTAGAGAAACCTCCATCTGCACACGACCCTCCTTCTGACCTCAAAAACCCAGCAATGTCCGGGCCAGTCTTCTACAAAGGCTCGTTCAATGTGAAGAGCAGAGCACCGGTGATACCTTCCTTGAACTGCCCGGTTGGACAAAAGGTGTTGTGTGGGTGAATGGCGTTATTCTTGGTCGGTACTGGACTATTGGTCCTCACCAGCAGCCTTATCTTCCTGGCATGTACCTGAAGAAACGGAATAATGAGATTACCGTGCTGGCTTTGGAGCCGAATGGGAATCAATCCCCGGCTAAGGGGATACAGGTACGGAGTTGGGGTAATAATCCCGATCCTGATGCTCCGTAGTGACGACGAGCGGATACGATTATGATAGTCTTCAAATAATAAAGAACTATCCATCATACCAAGAGTTTAAATGTGAGTATCAAATTTTGACGTAGCAGCCCCCTAACTAATAACACAAACCACCTTCCCCTTCGTGCCATTCCCCTCTAGCAACTCATGCGCCTTAACCACATCCTTCCAATCAAACACCTTCTCAACCTTAACCTCCAAATCCCCCTTCGCAAACGCCGCCAAATACCCCTCCAACTTTGCCGTCAGCTGCGACTGATACTTCTCATCGCGGCTCCTCAGACTGCTTCCCTCGTACCTAAGCCTCTTCGCCAGGAATAAGCCGATATTCGTCTCGGCAGGCAGGTTGACCCCCCCCATGAGTCCCAGGTTCGCGATGCGGCCATCCTTTGCCGCTGCCTTCAGGTTATCCGCGAACGTTGAAGCGCCCATAAAGTCCACGATGACATCGATTCCTTTTTCTCCCGTAGCCTTCTGTGCTTCGTCCCCCCAGCCTTTCTGGGTAGTGTCGAAACCGCCAGCGGCGCCAAATGTGTCAACGCACCACTTGACCTTCTCCGGAGTGCGGGAGGTGACATAGACGGCTGATGCGCCGGCGAGCTTGGATAGCTGGATGCCGGCAATCGAGACGGACGAAGCGCCGGCGTGCCAGAGGACGCTGTCGCCGGGCTTGAAGGCGCCGATCAGGTGGAGGGCTTGTGTGGCGGTCATGAAGGTCTCTGGGATTCCGGCAGCGGTTTCCCAGCTTAGGGTGCTGGGCTTGTGGAGGAGGGTGGCGGGGGAGACGGTGAGGAATTCGGCGTAGGCGCCTGGGAGAGGGTTAGCATGTGTATACAAACCTCCATACGCGAGCCCAAACACCTCATCTCCAACCTTAAACTTCCCATTCTGTGCTTCAGCACCGAGCTCCTCTACGACACCGCTGAACTCGACACCGAGGATCAAGCTGATGTTCGGGGGTAGTGGGTATCTGCCCTCTCGCTGGAGGAGATCCATGCGGTTCAGCCCAAAGGCCTTGACGCGCACGAGGGCCTCAGTGGGCTTGGGCGAAGGTTTGGGGACGGAGGAGTTGAGAAAGAGGGCGGAGGCGGGACCTTTGCCATTTTTGATGTCTGGAGAAGGGGTTAGTGGGGTGAGATGAGGGGAAGCGGGGATGCGGGGGGTACCGATTGCGCGCATTGTAGCCATGATGGGTGGTTGTTTGGCTTTTTGGCTTTTTGGCTTTTTGGCTTTTTGGCTGGAGTTGGTGGATAATGAGCTTATGAAGGAGAATTAGAGAGAACCGTAAGTTTACAAGGCGATTTTAATTTGTAAGTTAGATGTAAGTTATTGGAAAGTCGAATTTGAAAGACGGGTTGGAGAGCATTTCTAAGCAGCGTGGGGCAGCTTGGAGCTTGGGCCATGTGCGGGGGATGACATACAAGGTCATCGCGGAATCAATGCCAGATGGGAAAGAGCGGCTAAGGAAACAAGCGAACGACGGAAAGAGCGGGATAGAGAAGGAGCAAACTAAGAAAGGAGCAACAAACGGAAGGAACAACCAACGGAAAGAGCAGGCCAGGGAAGGAGCAGCCCAAGAGCAAGAGGGGCGGCTGAGACGGCGAGGGAAGGAGCGACCGCCGTGGGACCAACTGTCGTGCAAGAGGCTCAAGGGCTGCATTTATGTGAGTATATCATGGATATATAAATTGATTGATTGTATTTATTTAATATGGTAGTTCAACCCCAAACCATGCCGAACCTCTATATAGCCATGTACGAGGCCGGAACCGGGAACTACGAGCACTGGGCTCTTTGTCTCGGCGATGGAGACGGCAACGTACCGACCATCTTCGAAGTTAGCGGGGAACACGGGACCTTTGCAAAAAGCGCTGTTCAGGATGAGCCCGAGAGCAGACTCGTGCACAAGCGAAATATCGGTGTGGGAGAAGTGAACGAGCGTGATATCCCAGAGTTTCTGAAAGTGATAGATGATGCAAAGGTCGATAATGAGACTCGGAGTGGAATTGTCAGGATTACGTGATTGAGATACTTGAAACGCTTTATGACGAGTGCATTATTGACGAGGACGACGAGGAGTACAAGAGGGGTATGAAGAAGGCGAAGGAGAAGTATTTTGGACCGTTATAAGATGCTATTTTTACATTGTGTGAAATGTGAGTGATCTATTATAATATACACGTGCCCTACAACCCGTTTGTTGTATGCGTCTAACAAATACACGCCGAAGCTGGCTCATACCCATCACCTCCTCACATCCCCCTTCCCCACCACCGCCAACTGATACGTCGCCAGCTGCCCCTCAGTCATCACACTCGGACTCCCCACCATAACATCCTCCCCCCTATTATTCTTCGGAAACGCAATCACATCCCTAATACTCTCCGTCCCCGTCATAACCGCTACCATCCGATCCAGCCCCAGCGCCATACCCGCATGCGGGGGACACCCAGCCTTCAGCGCCTCAAACAGGTGCTTGAAGTCCGCTAGGCGAGCCTCTGGCATCCGCAGCGCCTCGCGCATGATCCACTCCTGCATCTGCGCGTTGTGGATACGGCGCGAGCCACCGCCGAGCTCGACGCCGTTGAGGACGAGGTCGAAGTGGTCTGCGACGGCGCGGAGGGGATCGGAGTGGAGGAGGTCGACGTCGGCGGGGGTTTTGGGGGAGGTGAAGGGGTGGTGGGTGGAGGAGAAGCCGGCGGTGCCGCCTTGGCCGGGGTCGATGGTGTTGGAGGGGGTGAAGAGCGGGAAGTCGACGATCCAGAGGAAGTTGAAGGATGGGTCGGGGTCGATTAGGTCGGCGGCGATGGCGGATTTGTAGATGTGGCTGCGTAGCCGGCCGAGGGATGTGGAGCCGCCGGAGAGTTTGACGTCTCTGGGGCGCGCTTGGAGGATTATGAGATCGCCTTCTTCTAGCGGTTCGCGTGTAGTGGGTGGTGACCAGGTGTTGGTTTCTGTTGCGGGCGCTGGGTCCTCAGGGGACGCTTCATTCGTAGCGGCCATAATTTTATCTACAATTGCTTGATCTTCAGAACTGGCTGGCTCCTCCACACCCGCTCCATAAAACGCCCTTATACTCTCGAGACCCTCGTGGCCAAATGCTGCGAGGCCTTCGAGTGGCTTCATAGGGTCGTAGATAAAGACGCCAGGTCCGCCATCAGGGTTGTCGTGGAACGGACTCATTTCAGGCGAATCCATGATTGTCTTCACAAAGGCACCCACTTGCCTTGGGCTACAGTTCAAATTGATTTTGAAGATGTCGACAATGGGGTAATCCAGCGAGGTAATCATACTCTTTAGGTTGTCCGGAACTATGCTTTCAACTCTGTAGGTCTAGAAGGGTCAGAAAAGGCAGATTGACAGGGTTGATAGACTTACCAGGTCTTTGATACGAAGGTCCGGTTTATCGACGCCGTGGAACCTCATGGCGTTGTCATACTTCATGCGCATAAAAGGGGCCGATGGTACATCTCTATCGGATCCTGCCCATAGCTTTTGCCTGAGTTTCCACATGTCCACAATAAAGCTTTCCATCCTCTTCATTACGCCGTCGGCATTTGTAAAAGCCATCTCCATGTCCAGCTTGAACCACATCAGTAAAGTGCACAGCTATCTGGGTATGGAGTACTAACCTGGGTGAACTCCGGCTGTCGGTCAGCCCTAAGATCTTCATCACGGAAGCAACGAGCGACTTGGAAATATCTGTTGATACCACTCGCCATTAGTACCTGCTTGTACTGCTGCGGGCTTTGCGGAAGCGCATAAGCATGCCCAGATGTGCGGCTTGGCACGAGAAACTCTCTGGCACCTTCGGGGGTAGATTTGAATAGTATAGGCGTCTCAACCTCGTGGAAATCTGGCAGTGCCGTCCGTATACCCTTCAGTACCTCGCTCCTGAATATGAGGCGTTTCTTGAGAGTCTCGTCGAATCGTATTTGCAGATGCCTCAGCTCAGGCCCGTATGTTGCATCTTCTCCCAGAAGAATATCTGCCGGGAAGTCGTTCAGTGACTGCACAGAGTTTATCAAGAGCTCATATGCCTGAGGCGGCTCTTGTTTTCCATCCTTTGTCGGCTTGACGTTTTTCCACTGGAGAGTGCCGACGACTTCTACTGGAGTGTTCGCTCTGGCAGCCTTTAGGATTTTGTGGGCGTCTGGGCTGTTGTCTCGCAAAGAAATAAGTTGAATGGTGGCAGCTCCATCCGACAATGGAACGAAGGTCATCTTGCCGGAGACGTTGCGTACATTGCCGAGAGCGCCCTGCACTCGGACGGATTTCCCGATGCTATGGTTGTCGGGGGATTTAACGATGGTAGCCAAGTTGCTCAAAGAGGGAGATTCGTTGCGCTGGACTAGGTGGAAGGCCAACATTAGCTGCAGATTTCGCGAGTAGTAGGGACTGGGGCAATCTACGGGTCTCTTTGAATTGCTTCATCCATGGTAACTCCTTTGCGCCAATTGTATTAGCTCCGCCAGCCGCCTGAGCGGATGATGAAAGAGCATCTGTGGCGGCGTCCGTAGGCAGCCCTGCTAAGGTTCTCCGTGTCAAACCAAAAGCAGCAATGGCTGATGAACCATTATTCGGCAATGCATGGGATACAATCCTGGCGCCGACTCGAGGGCGGCAACATGCCCTCAACATTGGTTGTTAGATTTGCAGGGTATCGTTTCGGTATCATATACAAATAACCATATAGGGAATGCGTATATACAGCGATAATTAACGTGAATAAAGAAGTGAAAGTAGTGATACAGGCCGAGATGGGGGGATGGAGGTCGGCGAGGCTGCGGGATAAAATACAGGCACTTACTCAGCCTTGCGTATAACCACAAATCCAAGGCAACAATATTCTCGCTAACGCACCTTTTGCGCTAAGTTCAAATAAATACCGCCCGCAGTGTAGAATTTCAATCTTTATCCTTCCAAGTTTTAAACAGTAAGTGTGATTGCTCGCTGCCCCAGTGCTATACCTTCATCCAACACAGTGCAACCTTGCTAACTCATGTCTGTTTTAGAATGATGAAAGCCTAGCGTGTTTTATATGATATGGCTCCCTCCTCGCTGAGCCTCCGAACTCTCCCTTTACCGGGCTTAAGTGGTTTGGTTGCAAGGCGAGGTTGGGGGACGTGAAATCAGCGTTCGCCACACCCCCCTTGTTAACAAGCGGACGCGAATACGGCATCTCTGATCCTTAAAAAGCCTTGGAAGGGCTCATTCTTTGATTTTTGTTGTTGGTTGGGGCCTGTGGAAGCGCCTGTGGAAGCGCCGTTGGCGGTCAATTCCCACACGGCCGGGGCGGTATGTCAGTTGTAGGCATGACCGGCAGTGTTGGAGATAATTGGGGAAACAGGGCGACAGGCACCATGTCAAGTGTTCTGATGTCTGGAGCCTTTATCTATTACAATTTTTTATTTTGACCTGTGCCTTTTGGCTTCATTGTTTTTTAGCCGTTAGATATCCCCCCCAGCACGCTGGACCACCTCGGATTAATCGCAATATGACTTGTATTATTCCGCCTTACAAACAATGTGTTCTATACTACCTGTTGTGATAATGATTATAAATTAAACGCTGGAGCAATAAGATTAAACCCTCATATGTATGCTCGGGAGTGCGGTGCGGGAAATGCGGCCGCCCACTTACGTTGGGCCACATGGATTTGATGTTTATGACGCTCATCCTCAAGTCCCCCTGGCTCAGCCCAAGCTTTGTTCAACGAACAAACAACAACTTCGCCTCGAAATACCAACAACGGCCTTCCAGGAGCGGCCACGAATACATATAGGTCCATTCTGCGCTCGAATCTGCAAATCCGAAGTGAACTTTACCTTGCCTACAAATCCCCCGCACTCACGATGCTGGCTTCTTGGTAGATGAGATTGGGAGGCCCTTGCATTATTGACCAGGATTGACACGAGCTTAATCTTGCGATTAGCAACACCACGTCCGTCTGCGCGCCCACGATCTACAGGATTCACGAGGCACCAAAGGCTTCTTTAGCGTCTACATCGGCTAGGATTTGCAGCGGCACTTTCTATGCTCACATCCTCGCCATTGACTGTTCGTCTCCTGCCGGAAACCTTGGAGGCTTAGCCCATCAACAGTACGCCTGTGGCATGAAACCATGTCAAGTTCATTCGAGAAATCTGTGAAGGGCGCGACAAAGATAAAGGTGACTTGCCCTTTCCATCTGCCCAATGGCGCTCTGTCCTATCCAGTACTGACTGTCTCCCCCTCTCCCAGCTTGCCCCGCCGAAATCAAAATACATTGAGCATATCCTCATCGCAACACATTCCGGCGAACATGGCGTCGCAGAAGTCTTTCGTGCCCTCCAGAACCGGTTGCGCGACTCCACATGGACGGTGGTTTTCAAGGGTCTTATAACTGTACACCTGATGATTCGGGAAGGGTCACCCGATGTTACGTTGGAGTTTCTATCAAATCACAAGAACATGTTGGCTACAAGCAGCTTCACGGATGGTATGTACAAAGTCTGGCAGCCCAAGCGTATGTGCATGCAGTGTGTCACCGCGGGTCGGATATGGTGTATCGTTCAGGAATGATTTCTTCGGGCACGTTGCTGATTGTTCTCCAGTTCAAACGCATGGCAAGAATATCCGCCACTATTCGAGCTACCTGACTGAACGAGCAAGAGGATACCGACATAGCAAATGCGATTTTGTCCGAGGAGCGGAGAATCGATTTCAAAAGTTAACTGTCGACAAGGGCTTATTGCGGGAGACCGAACTCGTCCAGCTCCAGATCAGTTCCCTGCTGAAATGTGACGTAAGTTGTCCATATGTGAAGAGAAAGGTGGATCTCTAACACTCGATAGGTGCTTGATAATGAGCCCGAGAACGAAATCACAATCACTGTATTCCGTATGCTGGTTCTTGACCTCCTGGCTCTTTACCATGTCATCAACCAGGCAATGATTGCCATCCTAGGTATGCTCGACTGCTTATATTCGCTGTATGGTGATGCTGATACAGTGTAGGACAATTCTTTGAAATGACAAAAACAGATGCCCAGAGAGCTTTGGAGATATACAGAAGATTCACAAAGCACACGGACCTTGTAGTTGCATATCTTGGTACCGCACGGACATATGAGCACAAGACACGAGTTGAGGTACCAAAGCTTAAGCATGCGCCTGTGAACTTAGGGAAGCAGCTGGAGGACTACCTCGCCGACCCCGATTTTGATATCAACAGGCGTCAATATCTGGCGGAAGAAGAGGCAAAGAAGAAGAAGAACGGCACATTCAAACCATTTCTCACTGCACAGAAGACAGGTGGTAGCTCTTCTCGCGTTGATGCGTCAAAGACGTTCCCAGATGCCAAACCAAGCAAAGAGACGGCAGCCACCACGACAAAGGCACAACCAGCTCCGCCTAAAGGTCCTGCCCCAGACTTGATAGATTTCTTCGCCTCGATCGAACTAAAACAGGAGCCCCTCGAAACCACGCCGCCACAGCAGCCGGTAAATGCGCCCAACTTCACAGGCGCCCCGCAGTTCCAAGGGCAACAACAGCAGCCTATGCAGCAACAAGCTATCCACCAACAACAGGCATTCCAACAGAATGGATTCGTGCAGCAACAAACAGGCTTCCAGGACCCGAACCAACAGCAACAACATCAATTTAATAATGGATTCACACAGCCTCAACCGATGCAACAACCGCAGCAACTCCAACCTAATATGACTGGAGCTGGCTTCGGCGGTTACACCCAGCAACCACAAGCATACCCTTCGAACTACCTCTCCCCAACCAGTCAAAATACCCTCTCACCCTTTCCCGGACAACCACAACAACCCTTCCAAACCGGCCCACAGCAACAAGTCACGAACCCTTTCCGCGCAAGCATGATGATGAACCACGCCGCCAGCGCAAGCCCAACGACTATGGGCCAGACTACGAGCCACACCCTCTCCCCCGTATCACCTCAAAACACAAACCCCTTTGCCAAACCGGCCTCAGCCCCACCTGGCGGGCCACAAGCACAGCAATACCAACCCACCGGCCCCGCCGCGAGCCCACTACAACCTGCGCCTACAGGGACGAACCCGTTCGCGCGACGGCCTGGGACGAGCGGTGCGGGGACACCGGGTGGACTGGCACCGCAGCCTACAGGCACGAATCCGTTTAGGCAGAGTGCGTTTGTGAATACTGCGACAGGAATGGGATGGCAGAATAATCAGGCGCCGATTGGTGGGGGACTGGACTCGATGCCGACTATTGAGGTGTTTCCGAGGCCGGCGCAGCAGCAGCCGTGGTCGCAGTAGATGGGATGACGAGGGGAAGATGGGGATGGGGGCTGTCGAATGGGTGATGGGTTTGAAACCTTGCATGGTGTAGATGCATTTGTGGAATGAGGATGGCGGTGGAGAGAGCGACGTGGACTTGACGGGGGTTATTGGTATAGCGTTGATTTTAAGAGTCCCAGATGGAAGATTTGACAGGGCAGACGTAGAAAGGTAGCTGGCAAGCTATAGCTCTGGGAAAGGATACGTAATACCATTACAAGACGGCGTGGCTCACAGTGAACTTTCTTTGTCTTGATATATTCGATGCTTCCCCAGCCACCTTATCTGCTCCAAGGTAAAATATATTATTAAATACGACAAAAGTATGCTAAATATAAAGGGTGAAACGAATCGTCATGGCCATTGAGGCCAACAGGCCAGGTCCACGACGTCAGAGGGCCCTAAACTTTGATCTCGGACCAAGCGCGAAGATGAAAAGCGAACTTTCCATCATTTTGGTTCGCTTTTCCTGTATCCCCCGACATATCTTCTGTCACCAGGAGGGATACCCTTGCATCCCTCGAAGCCACCCGATCGTAAATATACAATTCGTATTTCCTATCTACCTACGGTCTCCCAAGCCTCGCGGCCATAAATCTACTCACTTTCTTCGGCCTTCCCTCGTCATCATACTCATCGGCATATTCTAGTATCGTTCCTTCATCATCAACCTCTTGTTCCTTCTTCTTGAATCCTCCCTCCCGCTGAATCATCCGGTTCCTCAAACGGTGAAATTCCGTCGAGACCTCCTGGTGCAGCAAGCCTGGGTCAAGCTCATCTGGTTCCGTTACACCACCAGTCTCAACTACCTCTCTCTCCACAACTTGTGTGGCAAGCGTTGCATTTTCAGGGCCGGTAGGGACGGTGCGTTCACTTCGTGACGACTGGACTGGCGGCTGCGGAGAGATAAAGCCATGAACAGGGTTGGCCTGTCGTGACGACTTAAACCGGGAAACTTTCTTCGCGGTTGGAGGAGCAGGTGCTGCGACAGCGGCCGGTGGGCGCTCGACGATATCGGTGATTGGTGCTGGGACAACGGTAGGTTTTGGAGGCATTGGTTTAACAACTGGCTTGGTTTCGGGTGCCGGAGAGACGTCGACATCGTCGGCGAAACGAACTCCCTTCTTCCCCTTCTTGACTGCCTTCACTTCTTCGTCCGCAGGCTTATTGGGCGACTGTAGCTTCGCCGCACGATCTACATCCTCCTGCGTGATCTTAATCTGGGCGATCCCCGCATCCGGCTCTGTCCTCTCCGTAGATACGTCCGATGGCGGTTTAGGGCCCAGGTTCTGCATCATCCGCACGCCCAATTTCTCCTCCAGCTCGCGCATCCGTTGGTGCAGGTCATCGTCCACAACCTTGCGAGTTGAGCGACCAAACGCGTCTTCATCGTCATCACCATCGCTGAACTCGTCGTCGTAGCCCTCATCGTCCTCAGACCACTCACTGCCAGATTCGAGGTCGAGTTCGGCGACTACGGCGCCGATTTCAGACATGGAGTATTGGAGCATTTGGCGTCGGAGAGCTGCCTCCTCTTCGGTCTCAGAAGTGGGCACGATAGGCGCATCCGGGCCGGTGGAGGGTAGGGATTCGTTTTGGGCTTTGGAGAGGGACATTATTTCGGAAATTCGAGTCTCGGTCTTGGATGGTTCGGATGGGGGCCCGGGTTTCGTATCTTTGGTGAAGGTGACGCTCTTCTTCCTAGGTTGGATACTAGGCCGTGTAGGTACTACATGTTCGGTGACCGCGCCGGTGGGCTCTTTCGGTGGAGGTTTAGACGTTGTAGGCAATACTTTTGTGACATCGTCTTCCTCCACTTCGGCATCGACGGGATCCAACCCTCTTACTTGAATCTCTTCTTCAGTGACGCCGACCTGTCGTAGGACATCTAATAACTGTTGTTTCTCGCTTCCTGGTGTGTTAGTTTTGTAGCTTATCACATTCTCTTCATCATCCAGCTCCTCTATGATCTCCGTCAATGGTAAACCTTCCTCATCTCTTGCACTGTCTTCCAGCTCTTCAGACACCATCCCGACCTTTTCCAACTTGTCTTCCGCGGCATGTAACTGCTTCTCAACTGTCTTCACATTTTGTGCCACATAGTCGATTCTCCGATCAAGTAGATTAATGATCTGTGCAGCATTCCGCTGTTCGCCCTTAAGATTCAAAATGTCGTCTATTTCGACAAGAGTCACCACCTGACCATTGAAGTTTTGCCCTATTGCCAGGAGGTCTGCGTTGGTGGGAGATGAGAGGGTTTCAATTTCTTCCTTCAAGCCCTCATATTCCGCGGACCAGAGCTGCCATGTCTGAAGGGCTTTCCGGAGCTGGGTAATTTGTGTCTCGAGCAGCAGGCGGTGGCGCTCTAAGTCTTGGAGGGCGTTGTCATTTAATGGTTGTGCCATGGTGGAAAATATTGCGGGCTCAACAATATAAAGTTGTATGGGCCATGTAATTCAATCTTCGGTGAACTTTTTCCAAATCGATTTTCTCTTTCACAACTTGGGAGCAAGCTGTTCCAAGAAGAAAGGCTGATGTCTGATGCGAGCAATAAATTTCCGTCAGCCTTGACCTGCTTAGTCACCCCCGCATATGCCTATTTCAAAGCCTCGCCTTAGCCTTGCTTAGCCTCGCCAACATCCATGCGATCATCTTTCTATTAACCTCACATACGGAACGGCACTCCAAGCTGAGCTCCTCCAGATCCCACGAGCTCAGCATTGCTCCATTGCCCACCATGCCTCCACGGGCCCAGACAAACACCCTCACCTCCAACCCCCTCGACGACATCTGCCCCGTGTGCAAGTCGAACCGCTACCTCAACCCGTCCCTCACCTTCCTCATAAACTCAGAATGCTACCACACGATGTGCACATCCTGCGTGGACCGGCTCTTCACATCCGGTCCCGCGCCCTGCCCTGTCGCCGGCTGCCACAAGACGCTGCGCAAGCGGGGCTTTCACACAGCCTTTTTCGCAGACCTGAACATTGAGCGTGAAGTCGACGTGCGGAAGCGCGTGGCTGCGGTCTTCAATAGGCGCCAGGACGATTTTGAAACGCTGCATGATTGGAATAATTATCTCGAGAGCGTGGAGGACTTGGTGTTTAAGATTGTGGAGGGGACGCCTGCTATGAAGAAGGATGCTGAGGAGGCACTGAAAAAATATGCGGAGATGAACCGTATGGAGATTGAGGCAAACTTGGAGGCTGAGAAGGAGGAGGAAGAGATGGGACGGAGAGCACAGGCGATAGCTGATGAGAGGTCAAGGAAGAGGCGAGAGATGGGGAAGAAGAAGGAGGAGGCGGACCGAAGGGATCTGGAGAGAACGAAGCGCAATGTTATTGAGACGCTTGCGAGGTCGGAGGGCAATGCCGACGAAATTACCAGGAAAGCTGAGAGGCTAATCCTGGAGAAGACGGAGAAGATGAAACGAGATCAGGTGGAGGATCTAGAAGGTCCTAAGATGGCGATCAGGGGTTTGAAGAAGAGGAAGGCTTTGGAGGTGGAGAAGCCGTATGATCCGTTTGGGGATCTGGATTTGACGCCGACGAGATACGTGCTGCAGACACGGTACAAGAATGATTGGCTGAAACAGGCGGAGAACGACCCAAGGCATATGGTTGGAGGTTATAGCTTTCAAGAGTACTATGCCCGAACGATGTTCGAGGCTTTCTCTGGGTTGGGTGTTTTCATCGAGGATGAGCTGCCAAATACTACTTCGAGTGGTGCTCCTCTTTCTGCGGTCGCTGCTAAGGTTAGGAGCGGAGACAAAACGATGGAGGATGTCTTCTAATATGTGGTTCATTACTTGAGCTTATTGGCGTTCGCATTGCGTTTGGAAATGGATGGCGACAGCATTGTCACGGAGTTTGGTTTCATAAATTGGAATATACCCGGGGTAGTAAAAAAGAGATGGGGCATCGTAGAACATAGAGTATGGTCGCACAAGCAAACAATAACTATGGTCACGTCTTCCCCGCTACATTTAATGTTGGGACTAAATTATCGTGATCTCATTGTAGGATTCTCGTACCTCGTATAAACACCGCTGCTATGCAATCCCTCCACTCTCATGCCTCCATTTTTTGCCACTCTGGGACATCCTCAGGTCTATCTAACCCATCTTCGCGTTCGAGAAATCCAACTCGGGGTGCTGTTTCTGGAACTGCGCCAGCATATCTGCCTTCTTCTGCTCCTCGCTCGTGGGTTTACCCAGCTCCTTCTGCCTCTGGTCAAACATCATCTTCTCAACCATGCCCCTTGTATCGCCATCCAGGTCGCCCAGATTGCTGTTCTCAGGCTGGATCTTAGTCACGTCGATCTTCGGCGCCGATGTGACAACATGCTCCCACCACTGCATCTTGTTCACTTTGTCCAGGTGGATGTCGATCTGCTTCAGCTCCTTGCCGTCAACAGCAGGGATGGAGGCGAGTGTCCATGTAGACTCGTCGACGTGGATGGGATGTGGCAGGTCACCCTGGGTGTGTTAGCTTCGTCCTATCCATACGGCAGCATCCACCGAGCGGAAAACAAGCAAGGAAGCTCTATATGACAAGTATTGGGTACATACACTTATGGTTGGCTCTTGTCCCTTGATTCCAGCGCTCAGCCTCGTCTTCTTGATATCGACGACCAGGTCTCGGCCTTTGAAGTTTCCGGGGACGGTGAAGTTGAGAGAGAGGTCGCGGATTGTCTGAGTCCACTTGTAGGGAAGGGCAGCTTGTTCTTCTTCCTCGCGGGCATGTGCCGCCGCCTCTGCAGCTTTGTCTACTGGTGCATCCCCTGTGTGACTGTCAGTGGATGCTGAGAGTATAGAAACATCTTATGGAAGGTAGTATAATTTCAGGATATAGACTTCGTAGCTCTGCTGTGCTGGAAAGGCTTGAAAAGGAGATATTCTAGCACACAATATTATTATAAAGAGCTTACCTGAAGACATGGTGTACTATGAGTTCAGTTTCGCGGATGGGGCGTTGGAGGGGTTCTGAAGAGAATTGACCCCGCGATCGCGATGGGGAACAAACGGTGGTGCAGCCTTGATCCACGTGACTAATGCCTTTAATATGGTGCTGTCCTCCACCATCGCGCGGTTGGGGAAACTGCCTGTTTTTGCATTCATAGATTCAATGGCACCGGATATAGATTTTTGCAACGTCGAAACCCATCACCGGCCGTCAGTTGTTGAAGTAATTTGAGTTTGACATCCAAAAGCCTTGTCTGTCTGTGCCTCCCACGTTATTCGAATCGAAACCATCTCAGTATGTCTTTGTTAGAGAAATACCAATGTAGGCTGTCTTTGTTATTTTGCCAAGGCCGAAAGAAGAAGAATATCCATCATGGTCGCCTTCATTCTCTTGGACAATTCCGGACATTCTTTCTTTATGCTCTTTCACAGTCTTGTCACAATTTCCTGAAACCAAAATTGATTCAAAGGGACGGTGAGCTCAGAGGAAAGTACCCCTTCCCTCTTCCGTCCTATTCTGTCCGAAATCCTTTCTTTAATACTTTGCTTTGTTACACTTGGTCCTATTCTATGTTATTTTGACGATGGCCGCTTCAATACCTAAACTTGATTTTCTTTTCAAACAATATCAGCGAATGTTCTTCATTTACTACAATTTCAAATCTTGCCACAATTGGAAGATATGCAGGCGCCGGACATGACCGCGACCGACAGCGCAGTGTCGCCAATAGACGATGGATTAGACAATGGTCCTGGGAAGCTATTTGCTGAGAGTCGAAACGAGAATGGAGAAGTTAAGTATACCATGTTCTCTGGCAAGCCGTTAAGGTGGAGAGGTGACTATATTCCTTCGCCAGAGGCCTACCAAGAGACTCTGCGCGACAAAGCCCTCAGAGCTCAGGAAGGATATGTTTTTCATGCAGAAGCACTGCGAATATTGGGAGTCAAAGTCTTCCGCACCGGAGACTATCACATTGTGACAACACTGCGAGGAAAACGCGATGTGGTTAAATTCCAAACCAAAGAGCTCCTTCCAGGGGGACAGGTGTGGACAGGCCCTCGCGATGTTGCCCATCTCGCCTTTCTATCTTTGGAGGATGGGGAGCTTCCGATTTTTCATTTCTGGCTCGATCCGACTATCTTTGGGAAGAAGCCCGATCAGATGACACTCGCAGAAACGATCGACTCTGAAACTCGCAAACAGAGAACCGAAGAGGAAGCGAAGCAGATCGAAGACGGACTTAAAATCCGTCTAATGCCCAATATAACTCCTTCAGATCAAACCTGGGTCGATAAGCTAGCCGAATTCCAAAAACTTCTCGCCGATTATGGAGATAACGACCGCAATCAGTCGCTTATGGATCTTATGAAGAAGACTTTTTTTGAAGACCAAATCCGCCGCTTGGCGGCTTCGGGAGAGCATTCTCTGCTTTCAATGTTGCAAGGGAGAGACCAGTTGCTATATTTTGATAACCTCGACAACGGCGCGTTCAAGGGAGTAAAAAACAATGCTGCAACGAAATTTTGCATGGTTTACTTCGGCCTTCCTGTTGAGCCCCTGACTTTGACCAACATTCTCAACGCTAAGAAGAATGAGAATGACGCCCAAGAAAAAGTCGAACCCGACTACAGCATACTGCCTCGAATATACGGCGCAGAGGCCGACTTGGAATTCTTGGATAGCTACCACGAGAGAGCTTATGGATATCCGGCTGTGCGACGTAAGTTATGCGGTGCCACATTGATATAATAGACAGGCACTAGAAGCTAACATATTCCAGAACCAAAGGCAAAAAGGCCCTACAAGGACATCCCAGAAGAGGTCTCTGACCTAATCCGAGAGCAGCAACGGATTGAAGAAGAGCTATATCCTCAGCCAACAAGGAGATGCGGGGGCAATCGTAATGCTTTCTATGGCGTGGACAGCTATGATTTTGGGTTTGACGAACCCGAATCTGACCTTCCCTCGTTCGAGGAGTTTCTAGCTCTTCGTGGCGGCGCAGGGCCGCCCCAAATTCCAGGGGATGTCAATGATGATGATGATTCGCAACCAAACGATGGGCATTTCAGTGACATGGAATATGTTATTATGAATGATGTGAGCATGTCTGAACACGCTGACGGAAACTATGGTTTGTCATCAAGCGCCCGTAATCCTTCTTGGGTTGATGGCTTCGATGGTGGACTTCGAGGTGGAGCTTCGCCGCCCAGAGGCAATGAGGAGGGCGATGAAGAGCAGGGCGGAACCTCCGCCCCATTAAATGTCAACAACGCCCCTAGCACAAACACGAACAACGCCGCCCCGCCTCCGCCCGTCTCACTTCCACCACTTCCCTCCATGGAATATGTTCTTTCCACTTTACAGGAAAATCCTCGGCAGCCGCCTAGCGTGCGTCGTCGTCGAACGGCGCCTGCTACTAAGAGCACTTTCGACCCTAACCAATTTCGAGAATATATGGTTGAAACAGAGAAGAATCTAGAACAAGATGATCTTCGCGTGGGCGCATACCATAAAGCGCAGTCTGTCCACGAACCCCACTCGGCAAAGCCAGAGCCACCAAGATATGGCAATTCAGTTGAGGAGCAGCTGGTTACGGGGCCCACAACGCCAGGTCTATTTGCAAACAATATTAGTCTCGCTGAAGTTCGACGACTGCAAGCACGCAATGGAGAATTGGAAAGGCTAGTATTAGGCCGTGGGACATACTGTGGCATGTGTGATAAGAGCATATCATTCACCACCAAAGAACAGCGAGACTCTCATTTTGCAGGTCATGTGGACGGACTGCATTCCTGTGGCTTTTGTGGAATTAGCTTCAATTCAGCCACTCGGGCGGAGAGAAAATCTCATCTTGCTAGCCATGCAGACGTTAGATACACAAAGCAAGCAGCGAATACGTGCAGGCAGCCTGCCACCACAGCTGGGCCTTCGGCAGCAACTCCTCCCCCAAGTTCCAGTCCAAGGCAAGTCGCACAAGCTACTGTTGTGAAGGGCGATACCACATTGTACTGCCAGAACTGTAGCGTGAACTTGGCCAATTTTACCACTCCCGCCCAACTTATTGAACACACACGCGCCTGCTCTAGGAGGAATCGTCCGCCAAGCGAACCAGCCTACTGTAAATTCTGCGGCATTGAAATTACTAGACTCGGTAGCGCGGATGATATTACGAACCACCGCAATCTATGCAAAGGCTCCGCTGACGGTCGGGACCGACAACGAGAGCTTTGGGCTGCAGCAGGCACCTGTACCAAGGAAGACCAGGAATTGGCGTACTGGAAACTCTGTGCCCTGTCTGGGGTCCCTGATATTCATTACAAGCCTCGCAACACATCCCAAAGACCATACGCGTGTCGCTACTCTGGCTGCGACGCTAATTTGCTTGAAGTGGCGAAGGATGGGACTCTGGACGCTCACCACAAGAAGCACATCTCCGACGGAGACAGACTCAAGAACATATGCCAGGCCGAAGTCTGCGGGATGGATCTTTCCATCCATGAGAAACGGGGGAAGGAGCGGCTCCAGCGACATCTCACGAGGCATCTCAAGGCACATTGCACTTACCCAGGCTGCGACTTCATCTTCCGTGACGAAGACATTTCGCCCAGCACACGTGAAATTGAACTTGAAGCTAAGAAAAAATGGGTTGATCACGCCCATAACCATATCGCCGATGATGAGGACGAGTTGGGTCAGGATGGTGGTCTTAATTACTCTGACAGTGATCCTCCAAGTGATGATGGTGGCGATGGTGGACACCATGGAACTACCGGTCACAGCCATCAAGGAAATGGTGGAAACACCGGCGGTGGACAAGGAGCTGGTACAC